GGATGTGGCGCTTAAATAGAGAGAAAGAACGTCTAAAATGGCCAGTAATTTTTTTTTAGTATTGTGTCACGTATATTTTATTTTGATTTATTCATTGTCTTCTTTTAAATCTATTGTTCAGTAGGGAGAAGTGGTTGCAGGAGATGGGCACTTTTAAACTAAGCTTGTTATTCATTCCGTGTACGATTTGCTATATCTTCATTTGACGATAATTAGGTTAATAGTGGACGTAAAAGACAAAAAAAACAAAAACAAAAAAAAACAGCGTCTATGTTGCTTTAGGGTTATTCATCTTAATATGACAACTGAAAAGTGAGACAAATGTGATTAATGCAACAATTTACAATTTCTGTTAAAAAACAACAACATTCGCCATGACAAAGATTTTGTATCATATATCTGACACGATTTGTTTTCTTATTTTCGTTTAATGAATAAACATATTAATCTAAATGTTATTTGAGCCGCGTCACGACAAAACCAACATAGTAGGTTTACGACCAGCATGGATCCAGACCAGCCTGCGCATCCGCGCAGGATCCATGATGTTCGCTTACAAATCCTATCACAAGTAGAAATACTAATAGCGAACAGAATGGATCCTGATCAGACTGCGCGGATGCGCAGGCTGGTCTGGATCCATGCTGGTCGCAAACCCATTATGTTGGTTTTGTCATGACGCGGCTCATATTAATTTAAATATTATTTGTGTTCAAGTAAGCATGAAAACCTCAAAATAGGGCGGAAATGCTTACACTCCATAACTTATCGTTTAAAAACTAATTACTGTAACTGAAGGGAAATATTGGAGCATCAAACTACGTAAACGTTGCATGACCTAACGTTGAAAATATATCCGACCATGTCGTCAAAAACCTTTCCAATAGATAAGGTAATCAACGAAAACAAAAACAAATTTCAAATATGTGTTTATTCTCGTTTATTTCTAAGTTTCTGTAGAAAAACAGAATTGTATTGTTGAACATTCGATTATGAAGATATTGTACTCGGAAGTATTGTTGGTATTTCATCGTCATTACTCTAATTGATCATGATTCTTATCGGTTGGAGCTTGTTCATTATTTCTTTTCTTTTCCTTTACTTTTACCTACACTCTCCTTGCACACCTGCAAAGTTTCTACGCATTCCCCTCGATAGCACACCTGAATAAAAATCATACATCCATTTCATTACATTAATTATATGTCTGACCATAAACCCGGTGAATGTGTTTAGTGGAAGGAATTTCGAACATTCTATGTATATCAATATTTAAATACAAAAATCGAGTCAATATTGGTATAAAATTCTGGAAATAAAGTGATCCCTCGGAAGCATTAATTACAACGAATAACATAAGAATTACAGACTCGGTTTGATTGAGTCTGTACGTGAGGGATAATGAATAAGTGCAACATCCCTTCCCCCCCCCCCAGCACCGGCTTGAGCGGTACTCAATTCTCAACACTTTATAGTGTTGGCACCAATGATCCCGAAGGACCAGAAAATATAACAACACTGACGTGAAGTACGGGGCAACTTTTTATGTTTGTCCACAGATATAATGATTGGTATGCTTCTTTACCGGTGGCAAAGGCTATTAACTTTCGGTCCTTTATGATAGATGTCTATTTTGCTAAAGATGTTTCCGAAATTGATTTAGAATTAATTATTTTTAAAGCTGTTGTACAATATAAAATATATGTTGCAAAATCGTGCTTAATATATGCATAACGATTTTATAAAACATCGCATTATAACGCAGATCTTTTTGAATTAGGCGTTTTGTTTTTTAAGGCCTGTCAGAATTTTAATTTTTTTATTATTTCAGACTTTGTTTACAATGACAAATGTGTAAATTATTAAAAAAAAACATATACTAGTAATATTTCAAACATGAATAACACAATAATTGGATAACTGTTAGAAATTTAAGAAACGGTATCAAATTTCAGCTAAGTGAACGTTTGTTAAATATAAACCTAAGACCATTTGCATGATGAACAAAATGTGGTACTTAACGACTACTGCATGTATAAAACATAGGATTTGCATTGCTTCTAATTTGTCCCATTAAGGATTTAAATATAAAGGATATACTACTGGGCAGCCAACAATATAGACCTCGATTAATCTGCACATAGTCAAATACTGAGAAAAAAAGACCCCTCGCAAGCATTAATCACAACAAAATTACCCAAAAATTGCAGACTCGTTTTGCTTGAGTCTGTACACGAGGGATTATGAAAATTTTCAACATCCCTAACGTCCCCTAGCACGCTTGAACGGTACTCAATTTTTAACACTTAAGTGTGCTGGAATCAATAATCCCGTATGATCAGAAAAATATATCAACAATGAAGTGACTGCGGCAGTCTATACTTTTTAGTATATGTTATGCAAATTATTATTTCTATTAGCATTCAAAGACTTCATCTGATGATCATCATTCAAACAATGTCTTTAAAGTAAAGAATGATACAATGCAAACAAACTAATTGTTTAAAGTAAAATGGACAGTCATATACATGTACATGATGTGCGTATTCTCGAGAACTATATTTATTTCCGGATCATTTAGGGAGACTAAGATGTAGATATTTAGCAAATTTAGATGTGTATATTCGTGACAAAAATATGTTGACTCCATGCATTTGATATAATAAAGGAAAACAAATATATTTGAGTAATCATTTGCAATTACTGAACATTACTTAAGATTTACAAGACGACTATTCTACCTGTTTCCCCTGGGTCTTTCCACCTTTATTTACACATTTAGTACCGTCAAACACTTGGAGAAGTGTGTTTGGGGAATTGTCACAACTATCGTCCTTTGAACAATACAGTAGAGGTAACGGATCAAAGAAACCACCAGGTCCGTTAGTTGTCTGGCACTTGTCAGCATCTACATATCCCGCCTCCAAATTGCTACTTCCCTAAAGAAGCATAATCATATTGTCTAAAATATTCCGTTTAACATTTGAACTTTAATTTATATGCAAATAATTATTTGTGACATTATGGCCATCAATTATGCCCATCCAAGCGGAAACGGTCAAGTGAACAAGTAAAAATAAAAAAATAACTTGACATGTGTCATGATCGAGTTCATTTTTTATTTAACTATGAAATTAATCATCATGATCTAAGTGAACAACGGAAACTTTTATAAATATCATATAACGCCCAGTGTTCAAAAAGAGTGGGAGAGTCTTTTTTTTTAAATTTAATAGGTAACTTCTATACTTTATCATAAACACGTTTTATTATCAATAATTTGTCAATTACCATACTAATAGAAAATTCTTTTGTCAACTCAACTTGGCAGCACAAAAGTGAGTATATTGTAACTTTCACATGCTGATTCAACCATGACCAGTGCAGACCATGATCAGCCGGCACATCTGTGCTGCCTTATCATATCTGCACTATTCGCTATTTAGTCAGTACTTATTTTGAAATCGCCCCTTTAGGTAACGAATTGTTTAGTCCATGATGGAAGATGAACTTATTCATTTAATATGCTAGATTTATACAACCCTAAATACTAAATAATTGACAAAATACTGTTTAGTATGCAGTTAAATATTTTCAACAAAAGAAAACAAGAACCGGTTGAACCGGGTGATGCTCTGTCCTTGACAAAGTTCAAAGTGTAAAAATGAACAAAGGGCAATAACTCCATAAATTAAGCAAGGCAAAGTTAAGGTTCTTGTGCATTGCACATCTATTCAATGAGATCTATCTACCTACAAAGTTTCATGTTGATACCTCTTGTTGTTTCAAAGTTATATCCCAGACAAAAATAGCGGACGGACAGACGGACGAAGGGACAAAGCGGCGACTATATGCTCACCCTTCGCGGAACATAAAAATGGTTATTCATTTTATATGATACTTGCTTAAAAATTTAATTTAATTAGTAATCTTACATTTGTGCACAGGTAACTGTCATTTCCAAATACAAGCTGGCAGGTTTCATTTAGGCCATATCGTGTCCCCAAAAGACCTTTGCAGAAATTGTTAAGGAAATCTTCCTCGCTAGGGTACTCGGTGAACAGACAGTTTGCAATTTGAGCACTTGTTAGATTTAAACTACAACACAAAAATAACGATTTTATTTTGTGCTGTGAACAGTTTCAACAAATATGATATAGTTATAAGTTATCGAACAAAAAATTAAATTATTATAAATAAATGAGGTATCTTAGCAAGAACATCATTATTATCTATAGGTTGATAATTGTCATAAAGACCTCTTCGCTTATATTTGATAATTACCTGTCAAGCCGCTTACATTTAGGAAAATAAATAAGCTTATATCCAAATAAAACAATTTATTTAAACGCACTTAAAGGTAGCATTTGAGTGATCAGAAATATGTTTATGTTCAAATAAAGATATCCTGGGAACGTATATTTACTTTTAAAGATTTTTTTATTGCCATAAAGGGATGTTTGTTGGCGAGAAAAGACGTTTTTTCTTGATTAACTAATCAAACTATGGATCAGGGATTACACTGGGACGAATAGTTACCATGCAAGTATCGAACAAATTCGCTAAAAAATTTTTCAGGGGTTTGACAATCTGTAAAATTCTATAATTGTGTACGCGTATTTAACCATTACATAAGACAACTTAGTTTGTAAGTTCGATTGTATAGGCAGTTATCGAATCCGTTCCCGGAGCCAAACAGTACTAAGCAATGAATGTAAAGTATCTTGCTAAAGGAACAACAGTCTGTTCCAGAAGGGTTTGAACCCACACAGCATAAGCGAGGTTACTAGTCTGACTCGTTAACAACTCGACCGTAACGCCACAAAATTCTCTAATTCTCGGTGGCGATAAGTGTTTTACTTACATTTAAAAGTTATTTTGGTTGTGGTAAATAAAGAAATTATAATTGAAAAAAAAAATAAAAAGAAATTATAAAAAAAATCTTAAACGGGTTTTTTGTTGTTATTGCAAACTTTCTCTTATATAATCGTGAACAACACTCACAATGCAAATCGGTTTTCGATTTCTTCTCCAGAGCATTCTGACCATTTATAATAATCTTCGCCAGCTGCAGCAGTCGGTGGTGCGTAAACTGTTGACATCAAGGTCACCTTTTCCGGCAGACATCTCTCAGATGTGTCATGGAAACAGCCGATACTTAAAACAAACAAACGTGTGTTGCATATAGTCTAAATATTACACTAATATTGTGTATCGTAACATCATATATACATGATTTCCTTACACCTCTCCTATTTTATATTAAAGTAAAATACGTAAAAACGTGACATTTTAATATAATTAACTAAATTACGTTAACATGACTGAATAAATTAACAGACACATGAAATGAAACAACCTAAAATTCAATAACAGAACTTTCATAGCCGTACGATAAATTGTAATAATTATATAAATAGTGTTAAGTCTTTAACTAGCATTGTTAAAACACAATAAACTTGGTATTACGACACTATTAAAGAAACTGTACACAGTGGGAGAAGATATCTCTCAATACAACCGTGCCAGTAAAGAACGAATGAATACCTATTATACCACGAGGGAGTCAAAGTATTTGCTTCTTAGATAAACATAGTCCACTTGCTACATATCTAGATATCTTAGCAATCACAACACTAAATTTTAAAAGATTTGACAGACTATGGAACAATAGAGTAGTTTAATATGCGTGCGATTAACACTGATATACGTAGACAATATAGCATTTATAAGCGACTGTCGCATATATCATTTATTTCATTGCAAGGGACAAAGTATATACTAAACCGTTATCACTCATTGACGATCGACATAAATACAACAAAACTGCATTGTATTTATTGGAGGCGGACGGACGAAAATGAACTGTTTGAAATCGAAGAAAAATTACATCAAAATACCATTTAATCATTGGTGTCTCACGGGAAATGTATCAAAATTCAACCATTCAAGACTGACGGAGCGTCTACCAAATAACATTTATTCATTGGCAACTGACCGAGCACGTATCAAAACAACATTTTATCCATTGGCTACTGACTGAGCGCGTATCAAAACAACATTTTATCCATTGGCGACTGACCGAGCAGGTATCAAAGCAACATTTTATCAATTGGCGAATGACTTAGCACGTATCAAAACAACATTTTATCCATTGGCGACTGACTGAGCGCGTATCAAAACAACATTTTATCCATTGGCGACTGACTGAGCACGTATCAAAACAACATTTTATCCATTGGCGATTGACTGAGCACGTATCAAAACAGCATTTCATTCATTGGCGACAGACGAATAATGTACACAATATCATTTCATTCATTTTGGACATGGATTTATAAGATTTATTTATCGCACTGGACAGCTAGCCTTTTTAATGTCTGGCACTATACAGTATTTTACACATGTGGATTTACCAAAAGCAAAAATAAGAAATCTCAAAATGGCGAGGGAAAGATAGACATCTGTTTAATATTTACTTGTGTCCTATTTCGTGAGCAACAAGTCGTCCTATCCCAGCACTGTTCAACGAACTAAACCCATTTCTGCCGTCAAAGTTTCCACTTTCGAAATTACCGCATAAGCTGCCAATGTACGATACACCTGAAAGCCAGTCGTAATCAGTGTGATAGGAAACGAAATGAAACGCATTGAGCATGCCAATCTTTACCTCTGGACTAAACCATTTATTTGTGTAGGAAAATATTTATAGCAAATAGCGCAGTCACGTTTGTGCCAGCTAATTTGGGTCTGTACTGGTTACGTGGGTAGAATTTGTGGGTACATGTTAGAGTTATGAGAAATAACAAAAAACAAGAGGGCCATGATGGCCCTGAGGTCGCTCACCTGTATATAGGCCCCCAACCCCCCCCCCCCCCCCCCAACGTTGCAGAGCCAATTTAACCCAAGGGCTTTTATTTGCACAAACTTGGTAGACACCCATAAGAAGATGTTTCATGCTAAACATTTAAGCTCTAGCTCATTGGGCTTTTTTAAAAGAAGATTTTTTTAAAGTTTTTACTATACACATATAGTTAAAAACAATGACACCCCTGGGGCCGGGCAAGTTTTGACCCCAGGGCTTTTATTTTATTTCAACTCTAGCTATTTGGGTTTTTTCAAAGAAGATTTAAAGTTTTTGCTAAACACATATAAAGAAAATCAATGACCCCGGGGCGGGGCCAATTTTGACCCCTGGGCTTGTATTTGAACAAACTTGGTAGACACCTATTAGAACATGTTTGATGCTCAATATCTTAGCCATAGCTCTTTGAGTTCTTTAAAAGAAGATTTTTTAAGTTTTTACTATATGCATATAGGGAAAATCAATGACCCCCGGGGCGGGGCCAATTTTGACCCCAGGGCTTTTATTTGAACAAACTTGGTAGACACTCACTAGAAGATGTTTCATGCCAAATATCTAAGCTCTAGCTCTTTGAGTTCTTTAAAAGAAGATTTTTTAAGTTTTTACTATATGCATATAGGGAAAATCAATGACCCCCGGGGCGGGGCCAATTTTCACCCCAGGGCTTTTATTTGAACAAACTTGGTAGACACCCATTAGAACATGTTTCATGCTAAATATCTTAGCTCTAGCTCTTTGGGTTCTTTAAAAGAAGATTTTTTAAGTTTTTACTATATGCATATAGGGAAAATCAATGACCCCCCGGGGCGGGGCCAATTTTGACCCCAGGGCTTTTATTTGAACAAACTTGGTAGACACTCACTAGAAGATGTTTCATGCCAAATATCTAAGCTCTAGCTCTTATGGTTTTTTAAAAGAAGATATTTAAAGTTTTTTCTTTGGTTGCCATGGCAACCAGAGTTTTGCATGGAATTAAATTCTTTGAACAATTTTTAAAGGTGACCACCAAAGGAACATTCCTGTGAAGTTTGGATGAAATTGGCTCAGTGGTTTATGAGGAGATGTCATTTAAAGTAAAAGTTTACGGACGGACGGACGGACGGACGACGGACGGACGACGGACGGACGGACGCCGGACGAAAAGCGATCACAAAAGCTCACCCTGTCACTTTGTGACAGGTGAGCTAAAAAATAAAAGAAAGTTTGCTTAATGAATGTGAGAACTTTAGTCTTGTAATATATATTTCATGCTGATTAATTAAGAGATAAAATGTACAATTTATATTCGAATAGGATCCAAGGCGAAGAAATATAAAGAAACAACATTTTGTTTACTGTTTTCATATCATCTCTTTGAAATTCTATATTCGTATCAAAATTATCATTGGTGGGGGGAGGGGGAGGCGTTATTTGCAGTGTTGTAAGTCTCAATATAATCTCTTAAAGGTGCTTAATGCATTTTTTGTTTTCATTAATCTAAAGATTTATTTTCGTGTCATGTTACAGTTTCCAGAAAAATAAATATTGGACAAATACTAAGGAGTTGAACCATATATATAATGATTGATTGCTTTTTTGCAATTTGTACGGCCGGCTATAATGTTTTAGTATTATGACAAAATATTTTACTGTCAGGAGTTCTTTATTCTGGAAAAAAAGCATCTTGCATACTCTAAATTCTTTATTCAAAAATTTGCAACGCATGTTTTCTCTTTCTTATAAATAGAATTGTATCTCTTTCCCCCAGGTTTAATGTACCTTAAATGGGGTTTCGTTAAAATAATGGGTGTGTCAATTTCTGACTCTGACGGCGGGGTGAAAAGAAACGTTGTTCTATAATACTAGAGAGACATAAATGCACCTTATAGCTTCTTTACCAAATAAAAATAAAAATAAGCATACATACCTCCAAATACAATACGGGTAACGAAAATGTCATCATTTGAATCGTTGCTTATACGGTTGTAGATATCAAATGTAAAGTAGTCCCTAAAATAACATAAAATAAATATGTAATGGATAATTGCTGACTTAACCCTTTCCCCCATGAGCATGTTGTGAAAAATGGCCGTTTTCACTGAAAAGCCTCCTGTTACAAGTTCAAACTGCTATGAAACTATGAAAAATGCTTCCATACTAATCAAACTTGGCACAAATGTTGACTGGACCATTGCCTTTGTAACGACATGCTCAGTCTTAAAATTTCTGTTACCATGGCAACGAGGGGACATCTCAAAATTGCCAAAAATCACTATTTTGCCTCGGTTTTTTTCCATCAAAATTTATTTCAAAGTGCTGCAACTTCTCAAGGGATTGAGATGGAGTCAAGGGCTTTTCAGCGTTGGTTACACGTTACATTATGATTGACCTGGGGTCATTCTTAGCCTCACACAAGTCCAAAATTTTCTTGGCGACGAGGGGGACTCCGCCCCCCTTCAAACCCTACTAACAGAAGGGGGCACATTCCCCTTCTGGCAAGCCCCTGATGTATCATTTGGAGGGGGGGGGGCGGCGCCGAAAAAGTGCTCATTTTTTTTAGCAACATTTCTCAAACGAAAACATGTGTTTGGGGCCCAAATAGAACATTTTTTCACTATTTGAGGCCTAAAAAGGGGGGGGGGGGTCGAAAGTGCGTTGTTTCGCGTATATATGAGGTAAAGGGTTAACAAAAAATGATAAAAAACTTTGGAATCACCTAAAAACAAGTTTTTCCCATGTTAACATGTGGTCTTTCACCTTATTTTGGTGAAAAATTGTTGTTTCTATATTAAATATTGACACTTGGGTATCAGACCCTACCCTTACCTAATCCCACCATCTAGCTAGGTTGTCCACTTTCAGATTAAGTTGTTTAGTTTTACTCTGATTTCTACTTTACTTTTTTTAAAACTTCCTTTTTTGCAATCATGGTCCTATAAATATCAGGATACTAGGTTATATGGCCTCATAATGTAAAAGTAATGATATGTGGTGAAGTTATAACATCATCTGATAAAGGGAGGGTTATACAGAGATATATTAACAATATCAAGTAAATAGTCCGAAGTACAGTGATCTAATATGTAAATCTCTTGTGGTTGTAATGGTGTCATTAAAAGTCAACATTAACACAACATACTACTCTAAAGGCCAACGTGTTGTGAAGCCGATGTCAACACTCGTAATTGATGAAATCAGCATGACAAAATTACATTTGTTTGGTTATCGTTGAGTCTCAAAATGTATAAAACTATATATCAGTCTGGTGCCTAGAGTTCAAAACAATTGTTTGAATTTAAAAAAAGAAGAAGATTTAATTCCAAAATACATGGGGCAAATAGCAGATGCACCAAATTTTTGTCGTTGCTGAACGGTTTAAAGCCTACTTAAGTTTCCAGCCTATTAATTTGTTACAAAACATTGTATTTTGTTTCTGTACATAGTTCATGTATGTTAAGTAACAGATACGTTCTTTTCGCAACTATTTTTAGAATCGAAAATAAGATTATGGATACAATATCATTCAACTGAAAAATATTTGAGCCGTGTCACGACAAAACCAACATAGTGGGTTTGCGACCAGCATGGATCCAGACCAGCCTGCGCCTCCGCGCAGTCTGATCAGGATCCATGCTGTTCGCTATCAGTTTCTTTACTTGTAATAGGGTTTTTAAGCGAACAGCATGGATCCTGATCAGACTGCGCGGATGCGCAGGCTGGTCTGGATCCATGCTGGTCGCAAACGCATTACGTTGGTTTTGTCGTGACACGGCTCATTTGATTAGATATAGCCTTTAAAACAGAATTTACCCTGACATGAAATGTATCAGATTAAACGGCTGTTGTCCTGGAAAGTTCGCACTCTGATACTCTCCAAAGTCAATCACTAATCCATCCACATCAAATGATATGTTGTTTTCACCACTGTCAAATATTTTCGTAATTAGAAACCTACCCTCTCTGTTGTTTACTAATGGGGGAATATCATAGAATGAACCATCTTGCTGAGAACAAAAATATTCGTATCCGTTAGTATTTCATAATATTGCATGTGTTTAAGACATATCATATATAAATAATACAAAACAAATATTTATGTAACAAGAGCTGTCGGTAGGACAGCAACGCTCGACTATTCCGAGTGCTTGATAGTAAAAAAAATGCTTGATACAGTTACCTCCTCCTGTTTACAGGTTGGGGTCATGATGGTGAACAAGTGTGCAAAGATTCAAAGCCATATGTCTATGGACTTTGAAAATATTTGAACTATTACAAAAACTTTAACGTAAATTCTAAGTCGAAAAAGGGGCATAATTCTGTCAAAATGCTTGATAGAGTTACCTCCTCCTGTCTACAGGTTGGGGTCATGATGGTGAACAAGTGTGCAAAGTTTCAAAGCCATAAGTCAATGGACTTTGAAAATATTTGAACTATTACAAAAACTTTAACGTAAATTCTAAGTCGAAAAAGGGGCATAATTCTGTCAAAATGCTTGATAGAGTTACCTCCTCCTGTCTACAGGTTGCGGTCATGATGGTGAACAAGTGTGCAAAGTTTCAAAGCCATATGTCAATGGACTTTGAAAATATTTGAACTATTACAAAAACTTTAACATAAGTGGTTACGCCGACGCCGACGCTCGGGTGACTGCAATAGCTCTACTTATTCTTATCGAATAGTCGAGGTAAAAATAGAGCAATTGGATCTTCCTACAAGTTTTTAAAACATTATTAACCGCTCTCTCCACAAAGTCTTAATTTTATAACGTATATAAGTCCGGATAATTTCGTGGGAAGAGTTTGTAACAAAACAATAAAAGATAAAATATCCACTGGTCCCATGTAAAGTGAAGGTTGAAAACAAAATAAGACAAAGTTGGCTAAGTATTAATAGCAAATCATATAATATTATGTATTTCATTGATTTGAAACCCCTAAAAAGTGAAAAAGTAGTTCCAAGTAAAAAAATGAAATGTTCATAATGTGTGGAATACCCTAGACATATAAGTCACAAGGAATGGCGGATTAATACAAGCTATATTGATATATGTTATACATGTACCTAGTGTACGGGAAATGACGAAGATTGGCGAGTTCAAAAGAGCTCACGGGTTAAGATAAAGTACCTTAAATAAAGGAATCAAAAACTACTGGAATTTAAACGAGCTTATGACGAGGAAATACCTTAAACATGGAAAATCGTAACGTTTGCTTGATTTATATGGTTAATTGAAAATTTAATACCTTAATTGCGAAAATAACGACAATTTCATACTGGTGTTTAAAAGGCATAATTATTCTCATATGTTTATATCAGCATAGACATAATATAATGTAGCCAGTTAATATTGAAAGTAAACAGTGTCTTACGTTTTGTGGGGGAAATGTTATACCCTCGAGATATGGTAAGAAATCCACATTATACTGCTGACCATCCGACGATGAGATGACGGCACCTAAGTCCTTTAAACTGGCATAATACAATGCCGCCTTGAAAAATGAAGAAGAATAAGTAAAAAAAAAATAATAATAAAAGGACTAGTTTACGGAATCATAGTTTTCAGTAAATTCCAATTCTTATTTACAGTACAATATTTTCAAAAGGTTTGTGGTAGGAAGAAACAGTATAAAAAGCCAGTGATAAATCTAAGTGTCATATTTTAAATCAGCCGTAATTGTGCTTTTAATTCGTGACCTTCACTTCCCTCGGTGCCCTATTTTGAAATAATCACACAAACCCGGTGTTGGTTAAAAAGACTGATAATTTAAGTAATTCCGAGTGTTAGGAAGGCCTAAATGCACCTAGTGTTAACTGGGGCCAAACTCACCTACCTGGTTTATTACCAATGTAAGGAAGCACTCTATTTCAGATTTTGCTTCGTCAATATCACCACCAACAAAATCCAAGAAGCTGTAATAACAATTTATAATGAGATTATTAAAGGTCCATCATGTCCCTAAAACGCTCTTCAGCAATGAGGATATTAATAGTGATTATTTTTTGTATGGAAGTCAAAATACTACTTTGTTAATACTTTGCTAGTTTTATAACAAATAGCTCAAATTTGTTGCTACTTTCTTCAGGTGGCAAGTATCAAGTATGCTCAAAAACCATAATTCAACCGCTATAAAACTCATGTTTGCCCTTTAGGAAGAAGGAAAAAGGTGTTCGTGTCTATAGCATAATGTGCTTTCAGAATTAACTGTATAGTCAAAATACTCTTTGAAAATACATCATCAGTAAATTGATGCGCCTCATATCAAAATGTGCCTCGATTTACCTCCGCTGGTATTTTGTCCACAGCAAGGATATATGAAAAGGTGCAATCGTATGCATATATAGTTTCTAACTAAAACCATAACTAAATGTCTTGTGTGACAAATCTTTGTCTAACCTTCATCACAAAAACTTATTTAAGTGGTTGTGTTCTCTTTTTATATAAATTAAAGATAACAAAATGTCATACAGCATTTCCTTTTACTGTTTTATGTTAAGAAAATAACATGTACAATTCAACGTCATCAAGAAGAAATAATGCCAGCAAGTTTGTCAACACCATTGCAGTTTGAGTCAATATCGGACATTTTAAAGCACGTAAAGCCTCAAAATGATTTACATTTATTTCGTTTGTAAACAAAGAACAAACATTTTGTTTTGTAATGTTATAAAGATGGATTAGAACATATTAAATGCCATTCACCTGGATAAAATAGTGTTAATTGCATAGAGATAGATAGCAAAACCAAAATATAAACTTACCGGTTGAAGAATGCAACGTCCATCATCATTCTTATCTTTATGAACGCAGTGTCTGAGCTTATAGTTGGAGTTATCAAAGATTGTTTCCCCTTACTCATAGTCGTTTGCCGACGTTTCCGTGAATGCTCTCCAGCTTCGGCGCCCGTTTTACGATTTATTGCCTCTAAAATAAATTTTATCACATTGTTTCATAAAATGTCATGGCATTGATGCAGAAAACAATGGCAAACTTGTAGTCTAATGAGTGTTGACTAAACTATTAGTGTTCCTGATAGTGGGGTCAAAGGGTTAGGGTAGAATGAGTAGAATCTTCTGCCGCAGATAAGGCTAAATGTTAAGATAAAAAAAACTATATTGAAATGTGGAAACAAAGTGATCCCTCGGAAGCATTGATCACAACAGAATAACATGAAAACTGCAGACTCGGTGTGATTGAGTCTGTACATGAGGGATAATGAATAAGTGCAACATTCCTCACGTCCCTTAGCACCGGCTTGAGCGGTACTCAATTCTCAACACTTAATAGTGCTGGCATCAATGGCCCCGAAGAACCAGCACTGATTCTGATATAAAATCAAGTAGTCGTAATAAGTCCTATACAAAATTACCTACTTTGGCATATCTTTTAAACACGTCTAGAATGTTTTTATCATTTATACAATTGAACATCATGTGATTTAAAAATCGGTAATCTTGAGTTCACATTGAAACATTTCGGTAAAAATTGCCATCTATATTTCATGACAACGTCAAGAAATCTTCATATCATTAAAAAGGTTAGAATTTCATTTTGGAAAGATTGAACACACGTATAGGGACAGTTGTAGAGGAACTTACCTCTTATTTTCAGTAACTGGTCAACAGATGGTACATTCAAAGACTCATCATTTTCAACATAAACCGCCCTCTTTGATGTAATATACGAATATCCATTTGTCGATTGTTTGAGACAACGCTGTTCATGACATATTGTAGTAAAATAAAACATTACACTATTCATGCAATTATAAAATTATGAAAAAATCATAATTGAGCCGCGTCACGACAAAACCAACATAATTTGTTTGCGACCAGGATCCATGCTGTTCGCTGTCAGCTTCTCAACTTGTAAAAGGGTTTGTAAGCGAACAGCATGAATCCTTATCAGACTGCGCGGATGCGCAGGCTGGTCTGAATCCATGCTGGTCGCAAACCCATTATGTTGGTTTTGTCGTGACACGGCTCATATGTTCCTTTAGAACGAGTACGTATTTACAATTAGAAAAGTTATAAAAGGGACGCTATTCATTTTGGAAAATAATGCAGTTTAAGTTATTCCGCTTGAACTATTTTAAAGTCATCGAATAGAAGGGACGCTACTCAATTTGGAATATCTATGTCACTAAAAACAGTTATCTCGCTTGATCTGTTATAATGTAGAAGTGTATTATAGGTCCCAGCTTCAATTATAACATTAAACACAACTGATATATTTTTATTACATTGAAATAAAATCGATCCTGTTAAAAAAAGACGGCTGTCTGGCAAAAAAACTGCTAAAAATAATTAAGTCGACGCTTTTTACTTATGTCAACTAAAGTGATAACTTAAATAGTTTATTGCCCGTGATAACTTTATGGTAAAATATAGGATATCATTTATTTCTGGAATTCGGTGCAGTTTTAGCCCTTTTATCTCACTTAGTGTATTAACTTTAAATGATACTTTTCAATAAAAAAATAACAGGTCATTTACCAGTGAGTATTCTCCGTTAAAGAGTTCATTCGTGCAGACAGTATCTTTACTTAAAGTCGCATATAAATCCATATCCTGAAAGAGTAAATGCAGACGAGAATAATTCGTGATGCTTTTGTAGTTATCCCTCATAATCACGGTGGTAAGCCACTTAAAATGCACCAAAGCATAGTTAAGCCACCGCGTCGTTCCTTGGCTATCAATCAGTTTACCAGTACTGATTGTCTTCATTTTCGCAAGAAAGTGATTCAAGTACTGTAAATGCCAGATCAGAGACACACAGCGAATGACCGTAGAAAGGATTTCGTGTTTAGTCACAACGAAAGTAGCACAGTCCGGAAATCAAACTTGGGTGGCTCGATTCAGTTCAACGCTCTACCATGTGAGCTAACCGGACGGTTCGACACACGTTTTCTATATAAATCTTTCAACACTCATTGCAAAAACCTGATTGCATTACATCTGCCAATACCATAGGAACTCTAGCTGGAACAGGGCCGCATATTGCGGCGCATAAATCCGAATCCGTACCAGCTTTACATATTGTTTGTCCGACCTTTGAATATCTTTTTATATCATACGAGCGGATGGTCTTTAATTATCTTATCTCAATTTAATATAATCTGCTAATTTAAAAATCAGTCAAGTTTACGGTATATTGAAATAAAGTTTCCTTTTAAAAGGAAAGGCTTGCACAGTTGTGCCTTCATCCCAACCCTTTAAAATTGTTTTTTATTAATTGTTTTTTTTTTTTTTTTTTTTTTTTTGGTTTCAATTTATTATCACATTTTTTTTTTTGAATTACGGTATTTGTATATCATAAAGGGTTTATTTAGTTCTCTTATCTCTATTGTATAAAACTAATAAAGAAAATGATCAATCGTAAAAAATACTAACGTGATACTGAAGGAAAACAAGTGTGCACGTTTCATTTCCCCTTTTTCGCAGCGAAATCATTCCTTTGCTTTATAGACAAGTAAATGCACTAAAATACTTCGTTACGTGGTACCAATTAATATGCATACATGTATCAACTATGTTACACGATCACAAATAGACGATGCGCTATGTGGCAAGGTTAATGATATGCATGGGCTATTTTTAGATTACCTCACCAGTTCAGTAGATCTAAATATAACTCGATCATGCGTGATTTTGGTAAGCAGGACCACCCTTTGAAGACGGAATACTACTACCATTCTCTATTCTATAAAACTAATACAGACAAAAAACAATTATAAAAGAAACTAACTTTTGCGTCTTGAAAAACAATTGAAACGGAACAATTTCGTTTATAATTTATTACGGTAATCAAGTAAAAATAGAAATCCTATTTATATAAACAAACTGGGATTACCGAAGTAACTAAAATAGCTTAGATTTCCGTTATATTACTTCGTCTGATTCCGCAGTATGACGGAATCGCCCGAATTGTCACGATTGCAATCGGAACTACATCGGCTATTATCATTAATCCGAAGAGTGACGGAAAAGGCCGAAAAGTTGCGATTGGCACGATTGCAGCTGGTTTCCCGTTCAATCATGCACCAACAGATGTAAGCAGGAAACCACCTAACCGGAACAAGTTTTCCATATGAAATGGCTTGCAGCCGTGGCTGCAAGCCAAAAAGAAAAGGAGTGACATCCGCCATTTGCCGCAACGTTCGGCGTAAGTTACCCCCCTTGATATGCTTGATTTTTGTTTTAATTTTTCTAGTACTCTCTTTATGTCACTCAACACATGGGTTTCTTATAAGGAATACCAGGTTAGTGCCTTGAATATTTATCTATGGGTCATGTTTTAATATTCCTTTTTTTTAGTTAGGCAAAATCTATTAGACCATATTACTAAAGTGTCTGTTTTCTCCATGTAAACAAATCATAACACGAATACGCCCGTTATAATGCCGACTATACATGTCAAACACTAGTGTATGTCAACACGTGTAAACATTTAACCGTTACGATACCTGATAGTTGACAACGATAACGGGAACAAAATTCTGAAAAAATAGTAATCAAGTGTAGTCAAAGGGGAAAAACTCATGCCGAACGTTGCGGCAAATGGCGGATGTCACTCCTTGTCTTCATCCGTTGGGATGAAGGCACAACTGTGCAAGCCTTTCCTTTTAAAAGGAAACTTTTATTTATAATACCGTAAAAGTTGACCAGTTTTAAAAGTAACAGATTGGGTTCAAGTGATAATATATTGTTTTAGGCCATATGCTCGGATAATACTTAAAGATATTTAGATGTAGCAGATTTCATATGGAAAACTTGTTCCGGTAAGGTGGTTTCCTGCTTACATCTGTTGGTGCATTTGAACGGGAAACCAGCTGCAATCGTGCCAATCGCAACCTTTCGGCCTTTTCCGTCACTCTTCGGATTAATGATAATAGCCGATGTAGTTCCGATTGCAATCGTGACAATTCGGGCGATTCCGTCATACTGCGGAAATCTAAGCTATTTTTAGTAACTTCGGTAATCCCAGTTTGTTTATATAAATAGGATTTCTATTTTTACTTGATTACCGTAATAAATTATAAACGAAATTGTTCCGTTTCAATTGTTTTTCAAGACGCAAAAGTTAGTTTCTTTTATATTTTTTTTGTCTGTATTAGTTTTATACAATAGAGAATGGTAGTAGTATTCCGTCTTCAAAGGGTGGTCCTGCTTACCAAATCACGCATGATCGAGTTATATTTAGATCTACTGAACTGGTGAGGTAATCTAAAAATAGCCCATGCATATCATTAACCTTGCCACATAGCGCATCGTCTATATGTGATCGTGTAACATAGTTGATACATGCTTATTAATTGGTACCACTTAACGAAGTATTTTAGTGCATTTACTTGTCTATAAAGCAAAGGAATGATTTCGCTGCGAAAAAGGGGAAATGAAATGTGCACACTTGTTTTCCTTCAGTATCACGTTAGTATTTTTACGATTGATCATTTTTTTTATTAGTTTTATACAATAGAGATAAGAGAACTAAATAAACCCTTTATGATATACAAATACCGTAATTAAAAAAAAATGTGATAATAAATTGAAACCAAAAAAAAAAAAAACAATTTTAAAGGGTTGGGATGAAGGCACAACTGTGCAAGCCCTTCCTTTTAAAAGGAAACTTTATTTATAATACCGTAAAAGTTGACCAGTTTTAAAAGTAACAGATTGGGTTCAAGTGATAATATATTGTTTTAGGCCATATGCTCGGATAATACATAAAGATATTTAGATGTAGCAGAAACGTTTTTAAACACCGATACACGATCAAAAATATGCGCCGCAATCTGCGGTCCCGTTCTCGAGTTCCTATGGTTAACATACCCCTTACTGATGACACAGAGGTACTAAATATGGAGAACAAGGATGCTACAAGTAATCCGATGGTATGACGAGACTTAAACTTCATACACCAATGCTTATCTAATTAAAAACATATTACATTTATATAATTTAGTACCACGACTTTTTAATTTTCAAGCGGAAATAATATTATTTATATATTTTATATTAAACAGATGTAACAGCAGAACTGACATTTAAACTGTTAAGTTAAAAAAATTATACCGCATTTCTACGAGACGGGCGCTTGCTAATGCCTGGCAAGAGTTGTTTCTTGATGGACAAGGTCTCCCTTCTGTCTTCTATTGTCAAGTGCAGCTGTCTCTCAGATAAATCCCTTGTCAATCTGGTTCCAAGTTTGACCGACCCAGATTGGTCTGAAAACATTAAGACTTTTTAGTCCAGTTAGAAAGTAAAATGTTTAAATAGAAACACGGATTGCCTGTGTGTAACATCCCTAAAAGCTATTATCCTATCATTCAATCCTTTTCAAATCAGCTCCTAAATAACGCTGCATGTAAGAAATGTCTAGATCGGAATTTTAGTCAGATTGTCCTGCCATATTATTCATATTGTGACCTCTTATAATGTGTAGAGTTCAAAACATATCTACTTTGTGTGAAGTCGAAACATGTTGATTTTATTAATAACCAATTATGCGCACATTTACAACATCGCAAAGACATTTAAAAAAAATCCACAAGATGTCGCCATTTCAACGAATGAGTCACTGACTGTTCATAAAGTAGCGGATCATAGCTGTATTCGTAACGCCCTGGACTGTCTAGTAATCCAGGCGCCAGTTATAAGTTTGAAATCTCGTTCCTCCACTAAAAAATTCATGGTACCTAGGACCACTGATAGTTTAGTGAGCACCTATTTAGAACACATGTTTGCTGTGATTTTCTGTCTGCATGCCATGATATTTGATGAAACGAGGCGTTAATACTTATTTTAGAGACAATATTGTTGATCGGACACGGACATCAATGTACTTTTTCAATCAAGGCTAATCGGTGCGCATGCGCATTTTCATGGAGTAATTTGATCCTGCGCACTCAGATCTTCTTTTCTGATTTCCCAGCAGTGAGAACACGGTCATAGTAAAATGTTTCAGTGACGCTTCCCCAAAAGAGCCACTATTCTATCAGTGTCAAAAATGGAGTGTACATAATACTTTTTACGCACCTGCTACATCCAGCAACAACTGGGCGATCGCTGTTTTCACCTTCCCACATTTTGTTACTGAGATTATTGTGATAGGCATTAAAATTAACTACTGAAATTTAATTGCACGTGCAAATCGCGCGTAAATAGACAGTTGGTTAGCAAAACTCAATATTTTTCCAATGGTATATATTTCATGTACACATGTACTTTCACATGAAAATCATGGTTAAATTGAGTTGTTGCATTAAATATGCCCGTGATAAACGCTCTTTTCGATAGTCTATTTCTTATTTATGAAGATTTTTTTTTATTTTGTACCAAAACATTTTTAATTATCAATTATTGATCAATCTTCATCGTTATAGTCAGTCTATGGAAATAGAATTGTTACCAATCAAGCCAACATGACAGCGAAAAACATTAGCATAATGTCAGTAATATAATGCAGATTTGACATCATTCATTCATTCATTTAAATTCAATTTTCAGCCTTACTACGTATTTCGGCAAATTTTATCAAAAGTTCATGTGTATATTATCAATGTCATAGAATTGTCCCCAAAATCAAATTCATTAAATACACCTATTTAAGACTCCTATTTTATATATAAAAAGTGTTAAATTGGCTTCTTGTCCGACGTTTGTTTTGTTTTTGTTCACCCGTTCTCAAATTGTAAAATTATTTTTCATCTGAGTCATATTTTTGACTTTGAATATTCACTATAACATCCATAATAAACGTTGTGAAGTGATGTGAATATTAACCTGATAAATTCAATGATCACCTGCGCCGACTGTAACTCTATAAGAAAACCTTTCATATCTGTCTAAAACTCTGCCACACGTTTGTATGTGTTAACAGTTTTGGCCAGTTCATGACAAAAGTAATAATGCATTTATATATTCACCTATTATCAAAAGTACATATTCATAGATATATAAACTAAAATTAAACAGTGGCCTAGCTGTTTGTCACGTCCATGTTTCTCCCAATTGGCTTCAGTACTGAATGGTTTGGAAGCCGACTCGAGAGTGATAAACAATCATCCCGCTTCATATCTAAAATAAACTTTTCAATCTTTCAGCCTGGACAAACCCAGCAATCGTTTTGGGAAATTTCTTTAAAAGAATAGCACACCGTGCAGACCGTGTACAGACGGTATAAATGTCGTAAATTGGTTTGTACTGGTTACATGGGTAGAATTAGTTGCCGCAAGCAGACTTAGTATCAATATAAGTTTAATAAACTTGTTTCACAATGAAGCTGGAATATAATTGTTTAAAATATCAAATCGCAAAGTTAAAAATGATTAAAACTTACATTTAAAGAAACTCGCTGATTCCGCACAGTACAGCAAACAAAACGGCAAAAGTATCCGTATAATTTGCATCATCTTAAAACGACTTCTGTATTAATCAGATCCAAGCATGAAATGAATCAAAATGTACAAAGTGAGAAATAATAAGATTTTTTTTGTAATCAAATCATAAAAGGCGTGTTTAGATTGGTTAGATTGTAACTGATAATTTTAATTAAACTAACATATGCGCAACATGTGTTCGATACATGGTCTTATTAAAGGCTGATGTATACAGTATATCTTATGAGTAAAATATTGTTATATTCAGATGTTAAGTTTTCTTTTAAAGAAAAAAAAAGAATATTTTGTTTGTTTATTTCATTTTACGCCTTTTTCCAACAGTATTTCAGTCATATAGGCGGGTAGTTTCCTAACCATCGTTCCTGGAGAGTTACACCAGTACTAGACTACCTTCCTCCGCGCTCAACTACCAAAGCATCTCCCGGGGATCGAACCCACGCCAGAGAGGTAACTGGATTAGAAGTCATCGACTCTAACCCCTCGACCACGGAGGCGGCCAAATATAATTTGTAATAAAGTCATGTTCATGATCCATAGATTCTGTCGACATGAAACCCAACATAACACCACGAATCACTCACCTATCTATACACATGATGATTCATACAATGCACAAGTAAGTAATGGCTCACGTACGTTCCTCAAGTATCAAATTTTGACTTTGTTAGGGGACAGAAAAGCAATGCTTCATATAAATGGAATTGTGTACAGCGTCTTGTGCTTCTGGCTGTAAAATTTTTTGTTTAAGGAGTTTCTTTTTTTTAGTATAAGTTTCTGTAAAGCTAGTTTCATCCAGGGAGGAACCATTATAATTCAAATAGACTAATATACATTAAATGTCTTTATAGAGGAGCACTATGTGATATTTCATGACAACATTGATAAACTTGTACAAGGACGATCAGTGATCACATGTGTCGCCTCATGATGGCAAATTTCATGTTGGGACAAGTTTTGTGACAGACGGACAGACAGAGAAACAGTGCACAACTAGACTTGGTACTGATCATTCCTGTAAAGTTTGGATGAAATTGCACCAGTAGATTATGAGGAGTAGTCCGGACAAGCTTTTGTGTATCTGGCAACACACAGAAAAAAACACCTTTTTATCAAAGGGCCATAACTCGGCCAAAAATCATTCAACCGGAAAACCCGTGCAATATGCGCAAGGACTTGAGTTACAGATCAATCCTGTAAAGTTTCATTGAATTTGCATTAGTGGTATAAGAGAAGAAGTCCGGACAAACTTTAAAAATAAAAATTATTAAAGGGCCATAACTCTGATAAAAATCATTGAACCGGAAAATGCTGACAATATGCACAACATGTGTTTGTATGTGATTAACATGTTTTATTTGTGCTTTTATGTATAGTCTTTAGATGTTGCAAAGTATTCCTATAAATGCTTAATGTTACTTTTTATTTGCATTATGTGATAGTCCTTGTAATTTCCTGGGTTTTTTTTTATATATGTCTTTTTTTATAAATCTATTATATTTCTTTTACAGGTATGTACATAGGTGTATATGTATATCTTCTTTTTGTTTTCTTTTTCTTGTAACTTTTGTAGTTTTTAACTTATTTTAAATTTTTATTTTATTAATTTCATATTCTTAGATGTGCTTATTTTTATACATATCTGTCTTTAACTAATATATAACTCTTTTACAGGAATGTACATTATTTATACATATCTGTTATTTGTATTATCTTGCTTGCAATTATTGTAACTTTTAAGCATGCATGGTGCTATAATAACTTAAATCCATGTATTTAGATGTGCTTATGCTTATAATTCTTAGTCGTTTTAATATCTTACTTCCATGTACTTAAATGTGCTTATGCTTATATTTCCTTTTATAGCTGCTTTACTTTTGTTTAGTTCATATACTATTGTTTGTTGGAAAATAGCTGATGAGCTAATGTTTTCTGTTTATATGTATCCGACGTAAAATTAATTTTCTTGTATCTTGTAACTAGACTTGGTACTGATCATTCCTGTAAAGTTTGGATGAAATTGCACCAGTAGTTTATGAGGAGTAGTCCGGACAAGTTTTGTGACGGACGGACAGACAGACGACGGAGAAGTGATCCCTATATGTCGCCACTACCCCGTAGAGGCGACACAAAAATCATATCCAAGATTTTTACTTTTAAATCTTAGCTAGTACCTTTGCTGATACTTGAGCGATTGGGCTTCGGGCCAACAATAGTCCAAGGCATGATTCATCCAGAACCACTGACAACAACTGAGCAATAACATGCTAGTTACAATCTTTCCTCTTGATTTCATTTTTGGTTGAACTTTACGTCACAACACAGTAAGATCCTATTTAACCGTTTTGGGAACAAGTATAATAATAGATCAGGGATGTATATTTGAATACCTCCCTTGATATATCAGAGGAGTGAAAATAGATGCAGATAAAAATTGTAACATATATTTTATCTTTATGGGAATATAACAAACGATTTCAGTGAGGTAGCTATTGACTATTTTCAAGCAGTTAGGCCTAGAAAATGCAGGAATTTATATTGTGAAAGATTTCATTCAAAATCCATGCAGATATTGTAGGATTTAAAAGTTGTCATACATTATTTTCACTATGACCCTAACGACATATGTGACGATGGGTTTTTGAAGCAAATTTTACCAAGCACTTCACAAACCACACCAATTCATAAATTTGAAGTTAGCAGGTCTACAAGAGAATGGTACCTACCAAATATCATCATATGTATCAAATGGTCGACAAGTTCAAGATCTTGCTGTTCACACAAAAAATCAAATGTGTTATCCTATATACAAGTCTATGAAAAAGGGCCAAAAGGTGGAGTTAATGCAAAATATCTTAGCTCTTCACATTCTAGTTTCTGAGAAGGTGAGTAGACAGGCAGAAGACATCAACCACATATTAATGTCAATGTAAAATCACTTTAGCATTGAATTTAATGACCAAAATGAAATAAAAATAACCAAAAAAATTTACCAATGCCACTGACACAAAGTGGGTTATGACAAAAAGAGTGTAGATATAAAAATTAACATAATAACTATTTAATAATGATTTATTTACAGTGTTAATGAAGTTTTCTGCAAAATGGACAATAAAATTTTATCAACATGATAATGAAATTTGTACTGGAAATAATTTAAAATTTACACTTGCTTCATTTTTTACCATCAAACAAATCCTTAACATGTTATCTAGGCCTTAATGTTGACTATATCAAATAATCCACATAGTAAAAACTCTTTTTTAAACAAATAAGAAAAGTGGCCTCCTGAGTGAAGTCTTCATGTTTTTTAATATATAGTATTTGTAATTTTCTCGGCTACATGTTTTTTCCTCTTTTACACTAGAATTTCAGACTGAAGCCTGGCCCAATTGCTGAAACACCTTTGGCAGCTTGCCTGAACTGGAAACCAGCTGCTATTGCATCATCACCGTCATCCTAAAAATAGAAAATTATCTATTTATAATCATATCAACAAACCTACTGAAACTAAGTATGAGAAAGTTAACTTTGGTACTTGCACTTCAATAAATTATTTTAAATGACTGAAAAGTTCGGAATCCAATGCTACATTGCCACAACTTATTCTGTATTTACTTATGTTACATCACTGCTCTACTGTATAATGCCCTTAAACATTGTAAATTTGATCTGGACAGCTTGTTTGTTACATTAGATGTATTTAATGCTATTTTTGTATAGTTTTGATGGATTTAATATTTATAGCATAATTGTGTCTTATTAACTTAACATAAAAAGATTTCTGGTTTCAGCAAAAGTTCCAACATGTTATTATCCACACAAAACTGACAATGTCCGTACATAAACATAATGAATAACCTTTAGATGTACATAACTGTAAATAAAAACTGACAATGTCTGTACATAAACATAATGAATAACCTGAACTTGTACATAACTGTAAATAAAAATCCATTCTTTAACAGTGACTTCCAATCATAATGCAAAAGACATGTTTAAACTCTTCTATTCAGAACATAAATGGTTAATATATGACATGGTTGAGATAAGAAGCAGCACGCAAAATTTATTTTAATTTAAGTGTTACTCAGCCATTTAGGATAAGATAGCACCAGTAGTTTTTTAAAGAGGCTATGCCACAACTGAATATTATATTTTCTAATAGAATTTTATTCCATGTTTACTAAAGAGCATTTTCAATTTAACTTACCAATAACTTTGAGTACGCTTTTCCTCCAGATGGAGGCTTTGGTGAACTGGCATGTTTTCGTACTTGTTCTGACTTTGCAGGCCATGTTGGAAACATCGAGGGGTCAATAGGTACAGGAGATTCACGGAAATATTCATGTTTTAAGGCCTCACCAGCTGTAATCCTCTTAGTGGGGTTATATGTTAAAAATCTGAAGAAAAAGAAAAATATGGAAAACATGTGAAAAAAATCGTTTTACTTCACATTGTATCTTGACTTCCAAAATGAAGCTATATTCTGTATGTAGACCAATCTAATAACACATATCCTTATAATAGTTAACTAAAACAAATTAATATGAACTATTAATCACTGTCAATGTTTTAATTTAGTATATTAACAATTAAGATATCTGCTGTTTCAACTTGCCCCGAAAAAAAGCTAAATTTTCCCTTTTAAAAGCAATATTTTTCCATAAAATGCCACCCATCCATATTTGTCACAAGAACAATGACCCATGAGTTAGCTGTCTTTTAGATAGAAAAATGTTATAAAACATGGCGTGATTAGCCACTGTTAACCTTACAAGGTTGTTGGTGTTTGTTTTCAGAGTTTCACCTCTTTATCTGAATTTATTTATCTTCTTCCGAAAGACGACACAAATTGTTTTGAGAATTTGAACAAGAGGGCGGCCATGATGGCCCTGAAACCCCTCACCTGAATATAAGCCTTTGGGGTGGGGCTAATTTTAACCCAGGGGCTTTTTCTTTACCAACTTTGTAGACACCCATAAGAAGATGCTTCATGATAAATATCTAAGCTCTACCTCTTTGGGGTTTTTAAAAGAAGTTTTTTAAGTTTTTATGATAGACATATTAGGTAAATCAGAACCCCGGGTCCGGGAAAATTTAACCCTGGGGCTTTTATTTGAACAAATCTGGTAGACACTCACTAGAAATTGTTTCATTCTTAATACTCTAGCTCTATGGGTTATTTAAAAGAAGATTTTTTAAGTTTTTACTAGAGACGTATAAGGAAAATCAGTACCCTTGGGGCGGGGTCAATTTTGATCCCAGGGATTTTATTTGAACAAACTTGGTAGACACTCACCAGAAGATGTTTCATGCTTAATACCTAAGATCTAACTTAAAGATTTTTTAAGTTTTTACTAGAGACGTATAAGGAAAATCAGTACCCCTGGGGCGGGGTCAATTTTGATCCCAGGGCTTTTATTTGAACAAACTTGGTAGACACTCACCAGAAGATGTTTCATGCTTAATACCTAAAATCTAACTCATTGGGTTTTTAAAAGAAGATATTTCTATATTTTTACTACATACATAAAAGGAAAATCAATGTCCCCCACCCAGGTTTGTGATAATTTTAACCCCAGGGCTTTTATTTGAACAAATTTGATAGACACTCACTATAAGATGTTTCATGCCAAATATTAAAGCCCTTGCTCTTTCAGTTTTTTAAAAGAAGATTTTTTTTAAAGTTTTTACTAAATGCATATAAGGAAAATCAACGACCCCTTGGGGCGGGGTCAATTTTTGACCCCAGGGCTTTTATTTGAACAAACTCTGTAGACACTCATCAGACAATGTTTCATGCCAAATACTTAAGCTCTAGCTCTTTCAGTTTTTTGAAAGAACGTTTTTTAAGTTTTTACAATATACATATAAGGAAAATCAATGATCCCCTGGAGCGGGGCCAATTTTGACCCAAAAGCTTTTATTTGAACAAACTTGATAGGCACTCACTAGAAGATGCCATGGCAACCAAAGGTGACCACCAAAGGACCATTCCTGTGAAGTTTGGATGAAATTGGCTTCGTGGTTTATGAGGAGATGTTGTTTAAAGTAAAAGTTTACAGAACGGACGGCTGGATGGACGCCAGACGAAAAGTGATCACAAAAGCTCACAATGTCACTTTGTGACAGGTGAGCTAAAAAAAAATAAGAAAACAAGCCCAATTCTTATGTGAGTAGTCAAACACCCTAACTTCTCATTCAATAGAGCCAAAAACGCACACTCATTAAACTATGAAAAAACATTAATACTGTAAATTATCAATTATTGAAAATATAATTTAAACGTTAATGCACACTTAGAATTCTATTTTACATCACACTATTTTTAACAAGAACTGTCGGAGGACAGTATTGGCTCGACTATTCAAAATGTTGTCACTAGGGTGATTTATTGAGTATAATAATGCTAGTTACCTATGAATACATAAAATTGACTGAAAAGGTACACAGGCTTGTTATAAAGATGTTTTATCAAGTAAATCACTGCTTTATTATTATGAATGCATAAAAATGTCCCCAAAAGGCACAAACTCTTCAGTAGTTATGGAGATAACAGCTTACAAGCAAAATTTAATATAAATTTTTAAGTTGAAAAAGGGGAGAAAAATCAGCCTAAATGCAAGATAGAATTATGGATCTTGGTCAGTGACCTACAATTATGATTCTAAATGCATATGTGAAGTTTTAAATAAATATCTTTAATAGTTATTGAGATATGTAATACTTGCATGTAAACATTAACCAATAGACTAAGTAGAAAAGGGGAGATGAATCAGCCTAAATGCGAGTAGAGTTATGGAACTTGGTCAGTGACATACAATTATGACTCTCCAATTATGACCCTAAGCACATGTGTAAAGTTTCAAGTAAATATCTTTGAAGAACTTTAACCTTTAACCAAAATTTCTTAGAGTTTCAAAGGGGCAAATAATTCTGCAAATATTGCAGTCAGAGTTATGCAATTTTGCAAACTGATGTACATTGTTACTATAAAAAAGGATTGTAAATTTCAATTGAATATCTCAAGCAATAATTGAGATATTTGACTTTACAAAAAAAAAAAAACATTAACCAAATTTCTAAGTTATAAAGGGGCATAATTTTGTAAATATTATAGGCAGAGTTATTCAACTTGTCAATATGATGAGCATTGTTACTATAAATAAGTATTGTAAGTTTCAATTGAATATCTCAAGCAATAATTGAGATATTTGAATCTACAAAAACTTTAACCAAAATATCTAAGTTAAAAAGGGGCATAATTCTGTCAATATTGTAGGCAGAGTTATCCAACTTGTAAATCTGATGTATATTGTTACTATAAATAAGTATTGTAAGTTTCAATTGAATATCTCAAGCAATAATTGAGATATTTGAATTTACAAAAAAATTTAACCAAAATTTCTAAGTTAAAAAGGGGCATAATTCTGTCAATGGAAACAGGACGTTTCGGCCCCAAACCAAATCGGCCCCAGTCGAAAAATCGGCCCCTGGACGTTTCGGCCCTTTTCCGCGAGACGTTTCGGCCCCACTATAGTATATTGCTTGATTGATTAACAACAATTAATTTAATAACAATTAAACAATTATGACACTGTAATTCTTTAAATAATTATTTATTACCTTTTGATGGTGGGGGGAAAATCCCGGGATCGCCTATAGAAAAGCCGGGACCCGGGATCGTATTGAACATATAGTAATCCATACTCTCGGTGTATTATTATTATTATTATCATTTGAATGTTTTTGTAGAGATATCTGAATAAGTTTGATTTGTAGTAGTAGGAAATTGACCAGTCTAAGAAGATATTTTTCAGATAAGCCGGGATCGTATTAAAACATATTATATATCTAGGGATCCCGGGAATTGACCAGTTTCAGAAAAGCCGGGATCGTATTGAAACATATATGTTATCTAAATATATTTATATCCCAAGTTAAATTAATTAAACGTTCATTACATACAACAAAAAATAAAAACTTAACGTTTAATCGCCTTTCGATCATTACGGCAATAATCAACACAAATATAGTTTATTAATTTTCCCTCTATATCTAATACGATCCCGGATCCCGGGCGTCCCGGATCCCGGGCGTCCCGGATCCCGGGATTTTCCCCCCACCCCTTTTGATCTCTTGAACCATTTAGATATACGTTAATGTTTTTAAAGGTGTAACAAACAATAAAGGCAGGTTACTTAATTTATAAAACAAACCATATATAATTGTTTGTTTGTGTATTATATTTTTTCAAATAAAGTTTATGTTCTGTTCTGTTTGTATTAATAAAATATTATCTATATATGTTGTAAATAATTGTTTGTTTGTGTATTATATTTTTTTAAAATAAAGTTTATGTTCTGTTCTGTTTGTATTAATAAAATATTATCTATATATGTTGTAAGTAATTGTTTGTTTGTGAATTATATTTTTTCAAATTAAGTTTATGTTCTGTTCTGTTTACAAGTATTGATTACTTTTCCCCTACTACTATTATTATCTAGTTTTTATACAAAATGATTAAATATATATATATTAATTGATTCATTTAATCATTGAAATGCTATGAATATATCGGTTTAAAATACAGTACATATTCTGGGGCCGATTTGGTAAAGGGCCGAAACGTCCGGGGCCGAAACGTCTTGGGTAGTTTGGGGCCGATACGTCTTGGGGCCGAAACGTCTCGAAATCCTGTCAATATTGTAGGCAGAGTTATCCAAATTGTCAATCTGATGTATATTGTTACTATAAATAAGTATTGTAAGTTTCAATTGAATATCTCAAGCAATAATTGAGATATTTGAATTTACAAAAAAATTTAACCAAAATTTCTAAGTTAAAAAGGGGCATAATTCTGTCAATATTGTAGGCAGAGTTATCCAAATTGTCAATCTGATGTATATTGTTACTATAAATAAGTATTGTAAGTTTCAATTGAATATCTCAAGCAATAATTGAGAAATTTGAATTTACAAAAAACTTTAACCAAAATTTCTAAGTTAAAAAGGGGCATAATTCTGTCAATATTGTAGGCAGAGTTATCCAACTTGTCAATCTGATGTATATTGTTACTATAAATAAGTATTGTAAGTTTCAATTGAATATCTCAAGCAATAATTGAGATATTTGAATTTACAAAAAACTTTAACCAACGTAGACGCCGACGCGGACGCTGACGCCGACGCCGGGGCGACTACAATAGCTCTCATATTCTTCAAATAGTCGAGCTAAAAATTGAGTGTTAAATTAAAACAAATACTCACCTATTTAAAAGATTAAACCCTTGATCAGAGAGGTATTGACCAAATTTATTTCTCAATGTGTTGTATGGATATTCTGTGAAGGAACACTTCTTCATTCCAGATAACTCCATCACACCTGGCCAGATCTTCTCTGTAGGTGTTCCTAGATCCTGTAAGGATAAATGTTTACATATCAATATAAACATTACAATCTTGAACTTTAACCTTTACCATGATAAATGTATTAAATGGACTTGCCTAGTTTTCAATGCTGACACAATTATTTATCATTTTCTAGAAAAAAAATGGACACATGTACTGACTGAATAGCAAGTGGGTGTAGATCAAGATAGAAATTCATTTGAAAAATGGGCAAACTTTGGTCAAAATCCATGAAGAATTATGTCCTCTAGTCTGGAAGTGGGGATGATGGTCACTAACAAGTACTTTAAGTTTCAATTCCTCAAAGGATATAGTAAACAAGAAACATGGCAATGCCATGAAACCAGGTTTTCAATTATCACCATTGTAGATAAATATGTTGTATTTGAAATACAAATACAAGCAACAAACAATGTAACTATGTGCAATGTAAAACATGAATAATGTAGGAGGAATTGCCACTGAAGAAGTGTTCACTATAATATTATGTATAAGGAAAAAAACAAAGGGCCATAATTAGGTCAAAAACTATCCAATCACAAAACCCCGACAATATGTGCCAGGGTGCTTGATGACAAAGCTTCTGTGAAAGTTTGAACAAAATCCGTTGAGAAATGTAGGACGAGTTCAGCACAGAAGAATTTGTTCACTATAATTATATTGATAATTCTGTATAATGAAAAACAAGTTACAAAGTAGACATGAAATAATATATCATATCTTTTTTAAATTACCTCTAAAGATGATATGACCTTTGACTGCCAAATCAAGTTAAAATCATGTAAACAGGATTTTCAATGTTAATGTCACTGTGACCTTGACCTTGGAGCCAGCCATGCGGAACATGCGTTCTGCACGTCATCTTGATGTGGTAAACATTTGTCTGAAGTTTCATCAAAATTCTTCAAAGGGTTGAAGAGTTACAGAGCGGACAGGATTTTCAATGTTAATGTCACTGTGACCTTGACCTTGGAGCCAGCCATGCGGAACATGCGTTCTGCACGTCATCTTGATGTGGTAAACATTTGTCTGAAGTTTCATCAAATTCTTCAAAGGGTTGAAGAGTTACAGAGCGGACACAATTTCGTTTGACGCCCGCCCGCCCATCCGCCCAGCCGCCCATCCGCCCATCCGCCCGCCATACCCCAATCTAATAACCAGGATTTTCAAAATTGAAAACCTGGTTAATAAGTGGGGAGGTAAAAAAAAAAAACTTAACCTAATGTCTTGGTCTGAATAAATTAAGGCAATATATTTAGAGGATATTGAATGAGTGTAGATTTAATACTGAATTTATTGAACAAGTTGAATATAATCATATAATGTAAGCCTCAGGTAAGCATAATATTGATTAATTCAACGAGTTCAATAAATGTAGTAATAAATCTACACAAATATAATTTTATCTATCACATATTCATATTATGAACAGTGAACAGGTTTACTGTAAAAACTGTCATTTTTCATAAGCACGGTTTTATGCTATGTTTGTTTATAATGTAAATGATGTTAATCAAATTGTTATTACACCAGTGTAGTATCATTTTTATCAAATGGTTTTATTTACACTCCTACGCCGCTCTTATGTAATAGCGTAGTTTATTACCTTGAATATTTTCTGTAACTGATCTATTTCAGATTTTCCCTGCCATATTGCCTTCATGACGAGAAACTCTGCCATAATACAGCCTACTGACCACATGTCAATAGGAGTGGAGTATTCCTTGATACCCAGTAACAATTCCGGTGATCTGTACCACAAGGTGACAACAATAGGTGTATAATGCTTTAATGGCTCTCCATACTCTCTGGCAAGTCCAAAATCTCCTATCTGAAAATGTGTATTTTAACTTATATTAATGTTTTATTCAAATAAACAACATCTGTCCACTTGACTATTCTCAGGGCTTAATACTAGAAAATCACATCAAGGTTTGGAAGAATTTTAGAAGTTCGGAATTGTGAATAATTCCATATAAATTAATATTTGAATTCAGAATCTTGGTCAATCAGCAGGAATATAGACCCAGCAGCCATGTGTGAGACTTCTAGTGAATACTTTTAGTGGTTTATGAGATAGACCTTTTTATAAAATTTTAACAGAACATAAATAAGGAGTTGGTGTAATTATGTGAAAATACATGCTTCAAGTCACAGATTTTATTTATTAACCTAAAAGATTTACAACATGAACTATCGTTAGGACAGCGTGCTGGACTATTCTCAATGCATGATAATAAAACACGAGTCTGAATGATGAAGAATTTAGCTTATACCATCACTATTGTTATCAAACCACTAAAAGTCAGCATCATACATTAGAGAATCTGACTAGACTTAAAGTAAGTACATGATGATCCGACTCTATACTGGTAACATAGGCAAGCAAGAGGTTCTTATAACAACCAGCAAACATAGAATTACAGGATAAGACACTGAAATAGAACTACCTAAAGACTCACCTTTAAAATACCCTTATGACTTAGGAGTAAATTGGATGTTTTCAGATCACGATGAATGATCCAGTTGTCATGGAGATGATGTACACCTCGCAATAACTGTAACATTAAAGTTTTAACTTCACCTGAAAAATAAACAACAAATTGTTTAATGATGGGGTATTAATATAGTGTAACTGACCTATTTACACATTGTTATGCACTATTAACTTCTGTATTTAACCTTCAATTTTCTATTTAATTAAAGTTTTAGTCATTCTTTTTTTACGCCGATTTTAACACAGTCAGTCCCAAAAACTGGCTTTCTGGATAACTTAGCAGTAGAATTATTTTATTCACATTTTTCACCCACTAATCCCATATGATTTGTGAAAGACAAATGGTCATTAGACTCATTGTTCAAGATAAGTTGCCAGGGATAAATTTTGCTATCCCTGAGGTCAGGATTGCAACAGTGAGTGAGTGACCTTATGAATATGATTGAGTTTCTGGTCTTGTTGAGTTTCTGGTCTTGGTCAGCTATCTACAATTATGACACTAAAAATATAAGTGAAATTTCCAGTGAATTGCTACACTGATGACTGAGAGATGAATATTCATACAAATCTTTAACCAAATGTTATGTAACAGTCAGCACCTGAGTAAGAAGAAAATCTTTTAACTTTTTGAATATTCAAGTAAATAACAAAGCAACATCAGATAATTGGTATAACAGGTAATATGAAGGCAAGTTACTCTTCCTAGTTTAATCTTTTCTGTCTAGGGTTAATCAAATTCTCAATATCCCTAATTACCTTCATGTATCATATAGATTCAAGTCTGGATGTATAAAAATTTGTAATAATCAAGTGTATCTTACCAACAAGGAATGGCTGTTTCATTGTTTCGGGCGCCATCAAACTTTTGAGATCATGTTCTACATAGTCCATTACTATATATATCTTATCCATATTGCTACCTACTACAATCTCCTGTAAAATATAGGAAGGAAAGAAAATATGAATTACATGACTGTACACTACAAAGACTACAATGATGTCTCAAACCATAAGCTGCTGAATCCAACTGTCCATTATCGATGCTGGGATATCAAAATCAGCCAACAAAGCAGAGATTGGTCAAACTAGCTCTAAACTGGTGGGAACAATTTTGGGTTTTATGTCGCACAAACACAGTAGGGTTCATATGCGACTTTCCAACTTTACTGAACATCAGGTGCCCCTCCATGCATTATTTCAGGCAGAACCATAGATGCTCTATAAATCAAAAGGATAGATTCCTCACATGACAGAATAAAAAACTGCTGGCGCGACTCAAACCCTTAGTGGTTACCAACAAGTGGTTTAAAGTCAATGACCTTAACCACTTTTTTTTTTCAACATTCCAGGACAGCAAAATAATATATTTACAGTATCTTATTTGGTACCTCTTTGGTTTCATATTAGTGTGGACTTAAATTCATCAAATATTCCTAGTGCCATAATACACAAAGGTCAATAATTCTATAAATGAACAAATCACAAAATCCTGACAGTATGTAGGCTACCATGGCACTTGATAACAATCATTCTAGGACTATTTGTTTGAAAATTCATCTAAAGACCCATTAAGCTCAAGAAATGCTTTAATTTCTCGATCTTTTTTATTTGTTTTCCTATCATTTCCAAAATGACAATTGGATCATATTTCGCTTCTATTGCTTTCTGGGACATAGTAAAGTTACAGTGATTTAGTATTTTGTATGGAAGTCAAAATTCTACTTTGTTTACATTATGCTACATTACAAATAATTTTAATTTCAGTACTACTTTTTTTTCAGGTAATACATGTAAGCCTCTAACATGCTTTTCAAAAGACAATAATTAAAAAATTATTTAGTTATGTTTGTCCCTTCTATATACAGTCAACTATCGTTATCTCGACATCGCTTTTCTCGATATTTCGTTATCTCGATGAAATTTTGAAAGTCCCGATTTTCTTCCTTCTTTATCTATATTGGAAATATTTGTTTATCTCGATATTTTTATTTCAATATTTTCAGTATCTCGATGTAAAATTTCAGCCCCAACAGTTATTTTCACACTATTATCCTTTGTTTATCTCGACTAATAGTTTTCTTTCATCTGTTCCCTTCAGACGTGTGAAAAACACAAACTAGACGATAATTGCTCAATAGCGCGTGTCATAATGATGATTATGTTTGTAACAAGTTCATGAAGTTTAGCTGTTTTATAAAAGTTAATCTATTTAGTGTGTTGATTGACTTATTTCCAAAATGAGTGGATTTTGCCTTCTTTATAAAAACATGTATTCGAAATGAAATAGTGAAAGTATAGAAACGCTATCGTTGCAATATTGTTTCGCAACATCACCACCAAATCAATCAGCGGTCGAACAATCTCGAGAAAGACCCGATAACTAACCCGGGAGCAAATCCGGATCAACCACCCTGAAAACAATGTTTTCACTATATTGGTGTATTACTGAGTAAACCTCACTAAGTGTTTTTATCACAGACACCCATATTTCCGCTGGTAAACATCCGCTTATGTTACTTTGTTCAATATTGACTAGGCATATGAAAACTAGACATGGGGATATCATAGTTTATTTGACATTAGGTATGCACATGTATTTTGTAAAAATCAGTTTCTGCCTTATTCAAACCCTAATATGTTTATCTCGACATTTTGTTATCTCGAACTTTTTGGAAGGTCCCGATGACTTCGAGATAACGAGAGTCGACTGTAATGAAAATTCTATTAGTAGCAGAGGCATAATGTGCATTGAAAAATTAACTTGGATAATAATGCAAGAAGAGTTGGAAGTTGGACTAGGAAGAGATTGTTTACATCCTTCCATCTGCTCAACACTCTGGCTGACAAATATCCATCTTCTTAGTAATTTTCTCGTAGAAATCCTGGTTAAAATTTTCAAAATACTTTGTTGAATCTAAACCAAGAGCAATAAGGAGTTTGCGGGTTTGGATGGGGGGGGGAGGTGAAGTGATTCGAAGTCTAGAGTTGCCTCTATTTTACATGGATATACAACCAATTTAACATAAATACCATGTAAACAATCAAATTTAAATATATGTCAATGGTCATAAATGACAAATAACATAAATTTATTTTCTATTGATTCTTTATAAGATGAACATTTAAAATTCAAAACTGATAGCAGCTTGTTACAATATGACAATAAGTGTAACACATTGCAATGTTTTCATAAAACAGTAATATATAAAACATTCTGTAATGGTAACTGGTGCAATTTATCCACATTATTGTTGTAAACATAAGTAATTTTACAATATTTTATACATAAAATAAAATCACACATTGACCTTGTGTATGCAGCATGGTTTATGCATGTGTGTGTTTGTGTTCATGTGAATCTGATTTTAGCAGGGTTAATGCTGGTTACGATATCTTTGAGCCAACTTTTTTTCATGCACATTGCAGACTTTGTATACCAACATAATATTTTGAACAAGGCAATGCTATAACAAAATATCGAGAATTCAGTTGTAGTTTTTAAACAATCTATGCTCTCTTTACTTCTAACAGCCAATTTCTGATGTGTGGCATGAAAAGTTAATACAAACATAAATAATATTCAACCTTTGTTTTGCTTGCTACATTTTTATCACATATGTGTCACATATAAATGGAAATTGTAGTAAAACCAAATCTGTAAATCTCAGTTTAATATAAAAAGCTTTCCAAAGTTCACCTTCCTACAAATGCAAGTGATGGTCAAAAACAAGTACATGTATTCACTGTTACAAAAGATTACCTTATGAGGCTCAGTGACAGTAAAGTTATAGAAAAACCCTAAAAAATGCTCTACATAATAAACGGGGTATATTCCACCATGCATACAAATGAAGAGGAGGTGATGGTCATTTGTAATCAATATATATTTCAACTGATAAGTACTCCAATCACAGTTGTAGGATAGCTCTATACATAAAGTTTTGCTCAATTTGTTGATATGTTTTAAGAAAATGTACTTTTTTTTTTACTAAATAATTGTATAAAAGTTCAGTTGTTACAACAAAAGAGGAGACATCTGTTTCTGTGATTGACAGATCTTCCATCATACATCAATCATTTTCTAACACCAAATTGCATTTTCCAATAAAAAAACAACAAGAAACAAATATTATACTTAAACTGTGGTAGGTAATATAAATTTATCATAATACAGAGACAAACAATGATGATAACATATGACCTTTTTATTAAAAGCAATCTAAAAACAAAACAGGTTACAAAGCCTATTACTTAAAGGGTTTCTAAGAAGATAGATGTAGTTATGTAAGCATAGAGAACCAGACAATGGAAGCAGAGCAAGACCATACTTATGGCTACTAAATCTTTTAATATCATTTTCTTTAGGGTAGTACACTTCTAATACACAATCTCCACTTTGATGAGTATTCAAATAGGCTAGAATCACTGTAAAGTGTATTGAAACTGAGGGGTGTGGTTTCAAACCACAGAAGGGGCAACATTTTTTTTCTTTCTTTTTTTCTTTTTAACATTTTTTTTTAATATCTCAGATCCCTAATGGAAGAAAAAAGTGTTTCATTTCATTATATAATTATTGCAGTTATTTATTTACTAAATAATGCCAAAATTTAATAGCAAATATGATACCAGATATTTTCAAAGTTTAATAAAAAAAAACTACAAGGTAAAAGTATTTTATATTTTGCAAGACCAACAAATATACATTTAAGAAAATTTAGGCAAACTTTGAAAACAGCCCCTCATTGTGGAAATTTTAGGGATATTTTAAATAAGGCTTTTTACATAGGGAAATGGTCAAATAAGTGTTATAAGTGGGTGGGGTAGGGTTAACTTTATACATATTAAAAACATTTTGTTTAAAAAAAAATCATTTTGCTTGTTTAATTTGTTACCTAAATATCCTTATAAATTTATATGTTTATGATTTAAAAGTATCTTACCTTACTTTACTGTTTTTGCCATTCAATGCTAAATTTACCAGGACTAGGTTTGTCTAGAAATACAGTAGCTTACACTGACTGTTACTATTTATGTCTTGAAATAATAATATGATACATCACTTATATTCTAAGTAAAGAGTAACTTACCCTCACTGTAACTATATTTGTATGTTGAGCCTTCAACAGGGTGTTGATCTCCCTCAATGAGGTGATAGGGAATCCTTCCTTCTCTTTCTCCATCTTTAACCTCTTTAAAGCCACTATTTCATCTGTAATACATAAATACTGAGAAATGAGCTGCGTCATGACAAAACCAATGTAATGCGTTTGCGACCAGCATGGATCCAGATCAGCCTGCGCAGCTGTGCAGTCTGATCAGGATCCATGCTGTTCGCTTACAAACCCAATTACAAGTAGAGATACTGATAGCGAACAGCATGGATCCTGATCAGACTGCGCGGATGCGCAGGCTGGTCTGGATCCATGCTGGTCGCAAACGCACTATGTTGGTTTTGTCATGACGTGGCTCTAATGAGTTTGATTGGGGTAAGATGAACTCCTATGACTGATTTCACATTGATACTTTGAGCGCCATTAATGGTAGAAATAAAGCTATGCTATCAGAATAAAGTCAGACCAAACTAAATGAGCATGTATTTACTTACCCCTTATAATACACTGAACTACTGAATTTATGATATAGAGCATTCCCTAATGGAAATGTCCATTGCTAATTTAAGGGTTTCTAACATCAAAAATATATAAATCAAACATTCAACAGTAGATTCTGGTCAGGTAACATATATATGAAAGTAAGTGCTGACCCAGCTCAAAACTGGAGGTATAATTCAGTTACTATTAAGGCTAGTATTGAGATGGCTGAATTTTGAAAAGATTTATGTCATAAAATAAATAATGAAATATCAAGTAAGGAAATTATTATTTTTTCACGTTATTTTTCTATTCAACTTATGTCTGCAAGAGTAAATTCCCTTGTATAACATGTTTTAAAGATTCTGCAATTTATGAAAACCAAATTTAAAATGAATTATACATGTAAATCCTACAATATAGTGATGCTACTAGATTTTTTGTAATCCATAGCAGGGAACACAAAAATGCAATACAAACAAATACAATATGTTGTGGTTTTTTTTTCACTTAATACTATGAATCTTGGTCAATGTTCATTTATTTGGCCAAACTCTTGTGGTTGACTGAAGCTAGACCAATACCTGTCAGTTCAGCTAACCTTTCTTTAGGGTCTTTAATACATTAAACAACAGTCAAATATTTTTACCAAATACACTTCTAAAATACACATACCAGTTTTCTTATCTCTAGCTCTATATACAACACCATAAGTCCCTTCTTCTATCCTGTTCAAACAACTAAACTCTTCTACATTCCTACATCCCTGCAAAATAAACCTGAACTTTAGTATTTCAAGTGAGTACTGCATAAAGCAATAATAAATGATTTTTTCAAAATATAAATGCTAATGCCACAGAAAACAAAGCTTTAAGAAATTATACACCTTACACTGTTTATATAAGAGTAAAAAATATCACACACTCCTTCAAATCTGATAGTTTTGTCTATGCCAATTTCTTTTTGGTTGATATTAGAAACTATAAGTTCAATGAGAATTTCCAGCAATTCTACAAATTACATTTGCAACATGATTTATTTGGAGTAAGCTTGATTAATTCCATCAATTCCAATTAATTCAACCTGCATAAAAATAGAATGAAGAACAAAATATTCACAACACTTTATATTCAGAATGAACTTGCAAAATATTGCCAGTTTCTGACAAAATTACTTTTTTGCATTTTCTAAAGTCTACCTGCACTAAGTCTTTGAAATCATGCTTTTCAACAATGTAAGATTAACTCTTCTGAGTTTTTGTAATGGAATTGTCTTGATTTAAATTTGGAACAGTCCATTCAAAGTTTATAGGGATACTGAGGCAAATTAATGACAAAATTAGCAAAATGATCTTATGTACTTAAATCACGCTAAAATGACATTTTTTACTGTCCCAGCATGAATTTCTGTTTAATTTCTATATATTTTGGGTTTGAAGCATAAAAATATCTGTATATGTTGAACAAAATTTAGACACAGACAGAATCACTGAGTAGTTTTAAAACAAGTAATGACTTGAATAAACCCTGGAAGTTACAGTAACAGATATTGGGGATATTGCATTATTGAAACAAGTCTAAGCCATTCATTTGACATGTTCTTTAAGGTTTCCAGAGTTCACTGTGACAATTTTTTTGAAATCTTAACACTCTAACCTGACCCACGTGGGTCAAGTTAGGATACCACTATTTCATTCCTTATAAGGAGTAAAAGATTTATTCCTGTGACTGCTGTATTCATTTTCAGGAAATTTACAGAATAATTAATGAAAACTTCAAAATGAAGAAATAAAATTTTGCCTGTGTCTCCCTTTAAGGGAGTTCAATACTGAAATTCAAAAACTAGGCAACCAACAATTTAGGAACTGTTTGGTTTACAAGTATATGCAGATTTACCTGGCTCTTATATTTGTGGCAAAGGCTTATAACTTTCAGTTGCAGCAACAATGGAAATGTTGTAAAATATATGTATATTGCAGAGTTTTATAAAACATACCTGTATTGAAGAGTGTTATAAAATATACCTGTTTGTTTGTTTAGGTCATATGGCGATGTTCCAGCTTTACTGGTGGAGGAAGACCTCAGGTGCCCTTCCATGCATTATTTCAGGCACTAATGGGCACCTGAGTAGAACCACCGACATTCCGTAAACTAGCTGGATAGCTTCCTCACATGAAAGAATCCAAAGTTCCTGTCGGAATTCATACCCACAACGGTGATGGGCAAGTGATTTGAAGTCAACGACCTTAACCACTCGGCCACAGACGCCCCTAATATAAACCTGTATTGAAGAGTTTTATAAAATATACAGTCTAACTTGCCCATGCGACCACGTGTATTAAGCGACTTTTGTCTTAAACGATCACTTTAAATTCCCCCCGATCATTTTCTATCTATATCTTTAATGTATTAAGCGACTTTTGCTCAACGCGACCAGCGACCGCTAATTAGTCACCTAATTGACATCAATCTTTTCATGAAACGACCACTTTTACCTGTCAAGTAATTGTGTTTTTACAGAACGCCACCTCGTTATGTCACAAGTGTCAACAATCAAAACACAACAATAAACGTGTGAAAAACTCTATTTCCCATACCGTTTTAGCGTATGCAAATGAAGTTAAGTATACGCGTGACGTGTATTATCCAATAATATCGGATAAACAATGCAACGCTCCGCCCATACTGAGATGGTGTATACGCTTCGCTTGTTGACATTTAGACTGCATTGAATTGACCTTGAACTTGATCAGCCATTAAATTAATCGTAACAAATAGATGTAGTTTGTTTATTTCAAATGAAAAAAATGCACAACAGAAAACATCTTCACTAACAGGAGACAAGGAAAACAACGGAGAAGTTAAAAAATTCTGGAAAAAATGTCAAACATGTACGTAATGGATCTTGAAACTGTTTTGTCAATAAATATTTTACATTTGCATCCATTTAGATTATCGGAGCGTACCTTTTTCAACATTTATATAAAAATGAAGTTGAAAAACAATCCCACCGAATAAAAAAGATGTCATTTATAAATTTTGACTTTTATATCATGCTGACTGTCTTAAGAGACCGTTTCATTAAGCGACCGTTTTGGGTGTTTCCCTTGCCCGGTCGCTTAATACACGTTTGACTGTACCTGTATTGCAGTGTTATAAAATATTCCTGTATTGCAGTGTCATAAAATATACCTGTATCGCAGGAAAGTATGGAGGTAAGTCAGGTTTAAGTTCTAGGGGAGACATAGGTGGTGTTTCATCAAGGTAACCATCATCCTCGTGATGATCATTTAAATGAACAGAATGGGTCTCACTCTCATTTTCAGAATGGTCGTCAAATTTAGACTTTGCTGAAAGAAATAAACACTAAAATTTGAGAATCAGTTTCTAGTTTTAACAAGAGGGCCATGATGGCCCTAAGGTCGCTCACCTGTATATAGGCCCCACGGAGCGGGGCCAGTTTAAACTCCAGGGCTTTTATTTAAACAAACTTGGTAGACACCCATTAGAAGATGTTTCATGCTAAACATCTAAGGTCTAGCTCGTTGGGTTTTTTAAAAGAAGATTTCTTAAGTTTTCTCTTTACACATATATTTAAAAACAATTACACCCCTGGGGCAGGGCCAATTTTGACCCCAGGGCTTTTATTTAAACAATCTTTGTAGACACTTCCTAGAAGATGTTTCATGCTTAATATCTAAACTCTAGCTATTCGGGTTTTTTCGAAGAAGATTTTTAAGTTTTTGCTATACACATATAAGGAAAATCAATGTCCCCTGGGGCGGGGCCAATTTTGACCCCAGGGCTCTTATTTGAACAAACTTGGTAGACATCCATTAGAACATGTTTCATGCTAAATATCTTAGCTCTAGCTCTTTGGGTTCTTTAAAAGAAGATTTTTTAAGTTTTTACTATATACATATAGGGAAAATCAATGACCCCCTGGGGCGGGGCCAATTTTGACTCCAGGGCTTTTATTTGAACAAACTTGGTAGACACTCACTAGAAGATGTTTCATGCTAAATATCTTAGCTCTAGCTCTTTGGGTTCTTTAAAAGAAGATTTTTTAAGTTTTTACTATATACATATAGGGAAAATTAATGACCCCCTGGGGCGGGGCCAATTTTGACTCCAGGGCTTTTATTTGAACAAACTTGGTAGACACTCACTAGTAGATGTTTCATGCCAAATATCTAAGCTCTAGCTCTTTGGGTTTTTTAGAAGAAGAAATTTAAAGTTTTTTCTTTTGGTTGCCATGGCAACCAGAGTTTTGCATGGAATTAAATTCTTTGAACAATTTTCAAATGTGACCACCAAAGGAACAATCCTGTGAAGTTTGGATGAAATTGGCTTAGTGGTTTATGAGGAGATGTCATTTAGAGTAAAAGTTTACGGACGACGGACGGACAGACGACGGACGGACGCCGGACTAAAAGCGATCACGAAAGCTCACCCTGTCACAAAGTGACAGGTGAGCTAAAAAGTCAAAAAGGACAAAATATGAACATGAAAAATAGAACCAGACACCAACAACTCATTTTCAGAATGTTTTTTTTTCAAACTTTGAATTTGGGATCAGAATTCTTAAGAAACAATAAACAGAAAAATGTCTTATAGATTAAATGGTTTGTAAGTTTATAAAAGAAAGAAATTTTTAAAAAACTTATCAACTTTATACATATTAGCTTTATTACATATAAAAATCAACTCCATGTCTAGAGTCATCATATCAAACCTGTTTAAAGGGAGACAAATCCTATGTAACTGGTGAAAGGTTTCAAAACAGTCCAAACAAAATGTTGCCTTTCAATGACAATAAGCAATCTGTTACAAGTCAACAAGTTTTCGATGTTACAAAATTTTCAAGAGTGAGAAAAATTTTGACTGGCACACTTGTACCTTTTCCCAAACATGGTGAAAACATAACCTCACAGTAAAAGCAAAACATAATGAAAACATACCCAGATGTTTCTTGTCAGGGTCATCATGATCGGGACTTTCAGATTTGATTTTCACGCTGCCATCTTTAACATGATCCTCCTCTTCGCTGGAATCATCACTCTCACTAGATGATTCACTTCCTGTAACGTTAACATATAGATTTAATAATAGAGCAACTTTCAAGGTGAGACATTTATTTATATTAGTTTACAGAAAATGATTGAAGCCGCACGGACATTTTTTCTATCCGGGATCCTTGGCGAAAATTCTACCTCTCAACCTGGGATAATTGGTTTAAGTACTACAGGTGCAGTATAAAAAATAAAGATTATTTTAATCAGAGGAAACACAATTATCCACATTATAATGCATATATAACCATGCAGTTTTTTCTACACATTAAGCATAAATCACAGCAACAAATATCTGCCAGAAAAAAATCTGTATCACACTATAATGTGATCCTGAATTACACATTGCTGGCGTTATGCTATGGTTGAATATGCAGTTTAAATTTGACAAGGTATATAGTAATAAGGATTTATAGGAAGGATCTTGATTCCGTGCTTCACCATATCCTAGCCTTGTAAAATCCCCACAAATAACAAATCAAGATAAACCTATAATAACCCTATTTTCTCTTGTAGGAAAGTTGCATCTTTGATAAATATATAAAATATATTATGCATCCCTTTGAAAAAAGTTGAATATTGCCTCAATATAAGATAAATATTTCGTCATATGAATAATACAACAGATCATACAGTTTTCTTACTGGAAAGATAAATATGTCATTTATACCTGAGCCAGAATCGCTTTCTGTATCTTCACTTTCCTCCTCGGATGGTGACAATGCTGTATCAGGTAGTTCATGTTTCTCCTCTACATGTTCTTCTTCAGACTCTCTCACCTCTTTCTTCACCTGTACCTTCCTCTCCTTTGACCTCTCATGATCTTCATGACTCTTTGACCCTGACCTTGACCCTGTTAATAGCATGCATAATTTCTAAAATATTTGTTCAACATATATTTTTTATCAATTTTTTAAAAAAATTATGGCGAGTACAAAAATACTTTATGAGCTGCCAACATGAAATTAGTAATCATTATAAAAGTATATGTAATGTGTCTCTCCATATATATAGAAAACTTAACTTTTATGGCAATATTACCAGACCATAGTCATCCACAAATAATTTGTTGAATACTCAATTACATAGTTATAGAACTACATGTACTTTCTTTCTCCGAGTTTCTTCCCTTCATAAGTAAAGTCCAATTTACTTACCAAAATCTTGTATTGTTGGGTTTAAATTCACTCAAACAATGTAACGGTTATACAGCAAGTAGCTAACTTTATTATATATTTGAGGCAAACCGAAGGTGCCATTTCATGCATTTATTCAGGCAAGAGCATGCACCTGTGCAGAACCACCAACATTTTGTAAGCTACAAAAATGTAGCTGGATAGAAATAAAGAATTCAATACCCCTTGAGGCAAAGTTGGCTAAAACTTTTTTTCAACTTAAAATGGTAAAGAAATATATAAAATTTTCAATTTTAGAGCCCAATACAACATTAAATGAACATATTCCAATCTTAGAGAAAATATTTCAATGCATCTTACATGTACCTTTATCCGAGGATCTATGAGCATGTCTGGATTTAGAATGATCTCTACTTGATTCTCTTCTTTCTCTACTCCTACTTCTACTACGGTGACGTATAATTCCCTTTTCTTTTATCATACGCTGCTCTTTTCTGATTCTGACTGTAATAGAAGTATTGGGACATATTTAGACATATCACAATACAAGAGCGATCAGTGATCACATGTGTCGCCTCATGATGGCCAATTTCATGTTGGGACAAGTTTTGTGACAGACAGACAGACGGACAGACAGTGCACAACTAGACTGGTACTGATCATTCCCATAAAGTTTGGATAAAATTGCATCAGTAGTTTTTGACGAGTAGCCGGACAAGCTTTTGTGTATCTGGCAACACACAGAAAAAAACACCTTTTTATCAAAGGGCCATAACTCGGCCAAAAATCATTCAACCGGAAAACCCGTGTTATATGCGCAAGGACTTGCGCTACAGATCAATCCTGTAAAGTTTCATTGAAATTGCATTAGTGGTATAAGAGAAGCAGTTCGGACAAACTTTAACAATAAAAATTATTAAAGGGCCATAACTCTGACAAAAATCATTGAACCGGAAAATGCTGACAATATGCACAACTAGACTTGGTACTGATCATTCCTGTAAAGTTTGAATGAAATTGCACCAGTAGTTTATGAGGAGTAGTCCGGACAAGTTTTGTGACGGACAGACAGACAGACGACGGAGAAGTGATCCCTATATATCGCCACTACTACGTAGAGGCGACACAAAAATCTCATCTTTGTTATTTTTTTTTAGAATAACATGCTTTTTCTATGTGTTACTGTAGTTTTACTTCTTAAACATATTCATGCGAGTTAAATACATCATAATTTTTAAGGTTCTTGCAGGTCTATCAGATGTATAAGCCTAAATATTTCAGACACAACTTTTCTTACTTTCTTCCCTTTCCTTCCTCTGTTGCTGAAGTTTTCTTTCTTCTTCTTTTTTCTTCCTTCTTTCCTGTTCTCTTCTGTCTCTCTCTTCCCTCAATTTTCTATCTCTGTTCTTCTCTCTTTCCAAACGCTCCAGTCTTTCCCTAATAAGGTAAAATGTTTTATGTAACATAAATCACTTGTTCAATATTTTAAATGTTTCTGTACCTCAGAAATGAATACATATATTTTTCTTAAGAAAAGGCAGCTGTGTACATCAAAATGTTGTAATAACGGATTTAGAGCATATTAGATGCTTATTGAATGGGACTGAATCAATTTGTAAAAAAAGTTCCAAAATGTAAATGAAGGTGTATTTTGATTTCTATACAAAATCACTTTAATGTGATAATATTATGCCCATCCAAGCTAAATATTTAAAGTGAGTGTGCAGGTTAACTTCCGTTAAGTAAAAATTAACTTTACATTTTGCCATAAACAATTCAGAGTTTACATTATACCTCATAAATAGAAACAATAACCTATGTGACATACTGAAATTTCTATCAATATCCTTCGAAATTGATCATGTACCATTCAAGTGATAAAAAGAGTGGGTCAGTCATTTTATATTTTAGACAGTTTTTATATTTTCCCCTTCACATTTTCCGTGACAAATTATTGGCCAGACACCATTTTCAATAGTCATTCTTTCAAAATGTAGAGCTAATTCAGCTCAATTTGTCAGCAAAGTATGATGTCACTTTAGCAACAATAATTGCCATAGAATACTATATAAGCAAATGAAGACTTTGCAAACTCGCAAATGGATACTCATTTTGAAACTGATGATTAATAATATTTCTAAGACTGTCATAAAGAATTAGCAAACATGATATCCGAAGTACCTTTCCATCCGAGACTTTTCTCGTTTTTCCTTTTCTTTTATCAATTTTTCTTTCAGCTCTTTCTCCCTCTCTCTTCCTGTCAACAGTTTTCTGTCATGTCTTTCCTGATTTCCTATTTAAGAAAAAATGTAAAAAATTAAGCAAAATAATTTTCTTTTATCATGAAAAAAATCTTGTATGGAATGCTTCAAATTCCATTTTCCTGTAGGTCCATTTTCCTGCTACCTACAGATAGTAAACAATACATGTATACATGTATTCTGTTAATCAAAATTGTAAAGAAAACTCAAGAAATAAAATTTTATTCATTTTTACCATCTGCTTTGCTTTTTTACTTTAACTGATGTTCATGAATATACATGAATGTCACAAGGGCTAACAATTTATCACTTTTAACAAATGCTGCTACACCATCAAGTTTTAACATTTTCAAATCATTTAAACTGAAGTCTCAGATTCATAAGTGGGAAAATCTTACCCCTAGGAGCCCCTCTATCTTCCCTATGGTCCCTTATATCTCTACCATGACTTCTTTCTTTTCCCCTATGTCCCTCTTTTTCTTCTCTGTGTCTTTCTCTTTGCTTTTCCTTCTTTCTATCTTCTTTGTGTTTATGTTTGTGCTTGTCCTTTTTCTTCACAGGTACTGGTGGAGGTTTTATACCAGGCCCGTCATCATGATCTTCTTCATCAGCTGAATGCCTGTATGTAATTTATATCAAGAGTGGTACTATATCACTATTGTATATATTATTCATTGGGTTTCAACTCACACTGACACAGGAATAGTTAAAACTGCAAAGTGGGAATTTCCAGCTTAACAACAGTAGGAAGACCCCAAGTGCCCCTCTGTTATTTCTGACATGAGCTGACACCTATGTAGAACCAAGTGCTGACTCTGTAAGATAGCCAGATTGTTTCTTCATACGAAAGATTTAAAGGTCCCTGGCGGTACTTGCGGTAGTGAGAGACAAGTGGTTTGCAGTTAACAACCTTAGCCACTGAGCAACAAACACCTCTTTTATAAACAGCCTTTCCTACAAATGTAGGTGATAACTTCACATATCATCTGTATAAACAAGTAATGCATTAGTATTTCTGTTAAAAATGAAAAACTAAGAATTGAAACAATAAAATGTATTACATGTACATGATCTAATTTCACAAAAAAGTGTTTCTATACCAAATTTGATTCAGCATTTCACAGAACTGATACATTCTTAAACTCTCTTTTTTTAGAGACATAGGGCATGATAGGCTCCCCTTATGGAATGAAATCAGATTTTGTGAAAGGGCAATTGCAATTTCTCGGGCCTTTTAGTTGGTCAGAATAGCCGATCATTCCCATTGGTATGAGGGTGTTTGATTATTAAAAATGAATAATATTATATATAAAGATGTATATCCATCAATGGCACAGAAGCCTACTACTTTATCCAATGACATAAACAATCAGGAACTTACATATCATGGTCCCTGTCACTCTGGGTATGTTCTTCTTCCTCTTCTTCTTCTTCTACCTCATGTTCGGATGTTTCATTATCCTCACTCCTTGCTGCCAGTTCTGGACTGCTTGACGCCAGTTCTCCTTGCTCATACGGACTTCTTGAGCTTCTGTCTGACACCAAGGTAACTGAAAGTAAAAATTATAATAAATTTCTAAAAATAAAGAAAAATAAACAGAGATACAGATAATCTGCATGATGGCGTAAATACACAATTAAAATTGTCCCAATACTCAAAATAAATTCAAATCTCTGCATACAACAACTCAATTGTTTAATAAATTACCCATATCATTATCGGCTTGCATTGTTGACTTATGCTAATAATGCAAACAGGCAGGGCAGGTTGTAAGTATTATTGAAAACAGAACTTCTGGTTTAAATTTAGCAGAATTGAGCAGCTTTCATTCAGTCAATTCTTTTCGCTAATTTTTAAGTTTTTACATTTACTTTACATTTTGTATTTCTTGCAATCTGTGTCAGGTAAAAGGTTGATGCAGTGATTCATCCTAATCAATCGTCTGACAAATTGCATCTTCTCAGCCCTTTTCATCAAACTTCTGATAAGGACCTCAAACATAATACTAAGAATACACAGAACATATATTAATGGTATTTTGGTCTAACAAATGCTCAATAAAAAAATTATTAAATAAATACTAATTGATTTTTTGAATAAAAGTAATTCATATCAGACTAATATACATGTGTGATAAGGCTGCATTTTAGTAATCTATTAATTGTAAGCTTATTTCTGTTACCATATTTGTTACAGTTAATTTGATAGGTGCTTTCGGTCTAATTCTATATTTTCATTGGTTGACTTGATTGAAATTATTCAATAAGTTTAGAATTTGTTATGAGTTATTTTGACCAATCAATTTTAGAGTTATTATTTCTATGACGACCAAAATGTATATATAAATACCGGGTGATCTTCTGTATTTGCAGTCTCCAAAGCTTTCACACGTTTTAAAACATTATAGTTTTGACAATATCTAAATCTAAATGATTAATTAACTTAACAGGTTTTTTTTTTTTTTTACTAACAAATTGACACCGATAGTTGGTGTCTTCCCCTCCGTAAATTAATAGCCAAGTTTTTTCCCCAAAAATTCAATTTTCCCTTTGGACTGCTAAGGAATTAAATACTTAAAAGGTTAAAAATATAGTTTTTCCATTTCAGCAAATAAAACCCACCAATTGTAATCAAAAATAACCAAAAATATTGCAGGAATCTTCTGTTACCAAATTGACTTTTTTCATGTATTTTTTCCCCTCCCTACCAGTGTCCAGCGTCTTCCCCTTTTCCAAAAAAACCCTGCTTAGGTTAAAAATTCTTATACATAAATACTTAATAACTTATGTTAAAATTATCTTTCAATAAAGAACCATATTTAGTAGATTTCTGATTTAAAATATAATTTCATTCAACTTATTCATAAATAAATCTGATTGTTGTTGTTGCAATAAATCTCTGACTTAGTATTAAATTTATAAATAATAATGTCTTGTGTTTTACTTTGTTAATTTGAAGGTAGCGTCCATACAGCACAACCTTAGCCACTGGCTGGCAATTAGAGGTCAGAGAACCTGGGTATATAGGGCCATATAAAGTTATCTATATGATGACAGATCACATGCTGTCTGTCTTATTATTTGGCGCTTTTCTGTTAATTTATCAAGAGCACCACTGATGTTGGGCTCGATCCAACTTTAATCACTCAGGGCTCTCGAATGACACAGGGATCCGGGTTTTGACTTGTGAAAATCAGGAAATGAACAAATTTGACACAATTTGCCACTTGGTATTTTCAGCTATGCAATAATAATTACCTTAAATCCACCCCTAATTACCTATAAAATTCTACGTATGTTCAAATCACACTCAATAAAAATGTCACTATGTATTACACACAGCATTGTTTATAGCCTGTGCACTGAAGCGTGACATCAGTGGAGGTAATTTGACAGCACTAAAAATAGCTCTAGACAACTGATAAAAATTACATACTTGAGGTGTCAAAGAGTCTTTGACTCGTAAAATTCTGACCCTACTGAGAGCCCTGATCACTGTTATTAAACCGGCATTTTCACACATGTACCCACCTCTATTAATCTATGTGGCTTTATCCTGGAATAGACCCCAGGGTCTAAACCAGGAGTAAATATAAGGTTCATTCTGTTTTCTTTATTGTATTATAGGGTACAAGTTTTACTTCTGAAATATACATATGGATTGAAATTTTTAGATATAAAACTTATAAACTGTAAATAGATCTAGTACATTTTTTTATTTATATACGACTAATATTTTAACTTATTATCATGGTTGAAGATAGTCCAATATATTAGACGTTACAGGCTTGTTATAGTTTATGTCGGTCAAGCCTGACATCTAATAGTTATTGCTCAAACACGCATAGCATCATAAAAAATTCAAAAAATGTCTATTGTCTTGCCTTTCAAGCTTTATTCAAAAGCTTATCTTCTTTTCTTTCAATTTCATGCTCAATCATACACAAAAACTCTCAAACAATGTACTTCTCAATTTAAAATAAAATATAAACATCAATCTATTTTTGTCTATCAGCCATATGGTTAAGCAAGGTGCTTTACAGATTAATTCCAAATTTTTGAACGGAAAAATATATTCGAACACACTGATGGTGCATGGGCAATTATTTCGTTAAAAAAATATTCCGTTAGATTGTTCTGATTCAGTTAAACGCTTGCATTTGAATTAGCCAATCAGATTTCGCGCACTTTATGGCCGCCATTTGTTTATCCGCTGTAAAAAGAATTGAAATACATGAGAGGATTTAATCATGATTTTTCGGATGTGACAGTTTAATCATTTTGACAAAAGGTATTTATTTTTTAGTTTTGTTCATAAATACGTCAAAACTTATGTAAATACACGCTGTCTTCATTGTTTTTCGTTCCGCCCGATTTTCTGGCGGAACATGCTATGGGTTTTGGGTTTGCCTAAAATACGAAAGTGAGATTTTTGACGAAAGTGAGCGAAAGTGACTTTTAAAATTAAAATTGTACCGTTTTAATAGAATTTTACAGTAAAATTGTTGTCTGAAGACGTATATTATTAGCAACTTATTATATATATTATAATAAATAACCATAAATCATGATTTAATCGCCATTTATTTGCCTAATTTATATATTCAAGTTTAGTTATCTTCCTTTTGCTGGCATAGAAAAATAAGAAAGTGACTTGTTAACTATTAGAAAATGTACTAAATTAGGCCTGAAAAATGCAATATTAGTAGTATAACTTTCAATTCAAAGCTTTATTTCATATTTGACAAGTCACTTTCGTATTATTTAATGTGAACGAATGGAAGATCTCAGAACTTGTGTATAGATATTATGCAAACAAATGGTGATTAAATCATCATAATGATTATTTTTGAAAATAAATATTATATATTTCTGACAATATACGTCTACAAACTGCAATTTTAGTATAAATTTCAATTTAAACTCTATAAGTAGACTTCTATATTTAATATTTTACAAGTCACTTTCGTATTTTACAAAGTGAGGGAAAGGAAAGTTTCAGAACTTGTGTATAGAAATTATGCAAATAAATGGCGATTAAATCATCATAGTGATTATTTTTGAAAAGAAAAATTATAAGTTGCTAATAATATACGTCTGCAAATAGCAATTTTACTATAAAATTCTATTAAAACGGTACAATTCAAATTTTAAAAGTCACTTTCGCTCACTTTCGTATTTTAGGCATACCGATGGGTTTTTGAGGGGTGGGAGTGGTTTCGTCTAACTACCGGTTCGTCTAACTGATCTTATATAGTAAAACAGGTAGTGGTTTCAGCTAACTTAATTTAGTGAACAATAGCTATTGTATAATGGGCACTTCAATTATCGCGGGTCTTAATGTGTGGTTTATCACACATTTTCATGCAATTAAAGACAAGCTATTGAAAATTTAAACATATTATATATAATCTATATCAACTATAAATACAAATTAATAGTTAAAGCTGAAAAAAATGCTTTTAATCGGAATAAAATCGATACTAAAAAAATAATTATTTTTAATTTCATTTTCCGTGAAAAGAATTTTATTTTTTATTTAGAAATATATCAAAATATATGAAAATTCACAAATAGACATTTACTAATATATCAATATATTGTATTATAATTTTTATTCTTGACTCAAAAATAATTTATCAAATAACGAAAAAACCTTTTCAAAATAAGTATAATATATAAACATACTTCTACAATATATTATATTCATTAATGATATTTGCGTCATAATTTAATTATAACAAATTATTGATGATAAAAGCACTATATATATATGAACCACGTCTACTTTGCCTTTAATTACTATATAACATCAGTTAGACGAAACCACTTTCGCACCTCTTCATAAATTAAGTTAGACGAACCGGTAGTTAGACGAAACCACCATAATTCTTTTTGAGCAATTTCGATATGACGTTGCTTTGCCCAGAAGCTAAAATATCTCAAAGCGACGTCATATTTATAGGACTAGGTTGAAGAAACCAAAAGTACAAAATGCCCCGTTTATATTTATTTGGATTTGTTTATAATTCTTAATTTCTGTATCCGTCGGGATTTTAAAATATTATCTATTATGAAGTGTCTCATGAAGATGTTAATATCCGAACACTGTTACATTTCGCGACTTTACAATTCAGCAATTATAACTCGTCAATTCCAAAATGGAGATTGATACATAATTACAAACCTTTTCGACGACTCATCGGTCTTATCTTTAAAGTTCTCACTATTTAGAAAATATCCATATAATTACGAAACTTTTGATTTCGGAAATGTTGATACGTTTCAAGAGGAGATCACTCTTCGAAGCGCGTGCACTGTTTAGGTATAGAGATACTAAATTCACCCCTCCCCGTTACAGGCCCGTAGCGTATAAACCTGCCATCGTGCTAAAAGTTTTTGCGATTTTTTTATTTATTAATATCCTGGGATCCTACATATTACCGGACAAAATATGATGTTTTTTCGTTGTAACTTTTATTTAAAATAATAGAAAAGAATGAAATTTTACCCAAATGATTGTGGGTTCTTAATATACGTTAACATTTCTTTATCAAACATAAAATTAAACTTTTGACCGTAGAAATGTGTCTTTAAAGTAGGGCATTAAAAGAGGAAAAAAATCATGTAGACAACTCAATTTACCGGACATTGTGTTTCAAAAGTTTTTGAAGTGTTATATTGAAATTAAGCAAGGAGACTTCGACTATTGAATGACAATGTTAAGATACTGGAAAAAACCATTATGTCACTAAAATAGACACAGCAGCCATGCTTGTTACGAAGAGGCCAATATAGGGGTGTAATTGAAATAAACACTATTAACTCAATTAACGTATTGATTCTTCATGATCCTTAAAAGTATGACACATTTTGATATTCAAATGGAATTCTGTTCTTTCTCATACATTTTCCTTTTGATCATCATGTAGCATATGTTGCAAAAGCCATAAAGTCTATTTTTTGTACATTTCATGTAGAGTTTCCTCCCATGGGCGCGTAACCTGTTTCCTTATATGTTTCTTATTTTGCATTTCTTTGTAAAAGACAACAACAAGATATTGTTTGAACGAAATTTAAAATCACTTTTTATCCTTAAAATATGTAACGATTGTCTCCTGAGGTAACTTTGAGAAGAATTAAAAGTAAAATCTATCTAAAATAAGTTAATAACCCATTAAGGGCCTCAATATTCGGGAATGCGCAGAACAGATTATTCCCCCGCATGACCAGGTCATGGAATAACTAGTAAACTAAAGCATCCTAGAATAAAAATTTTTCCGGGGGAGCATGCCCCCGTACCCCCCTAGATTCTGGCTAAAACCAACCAAATTGGCCGCACCAATCACAAAATCGTGACGACGGGCCTGAAAGGGTATGTTAGTAAATAAAGAACTGAATCAACAATATTTGCCTAAAAGTGGTTTTGTTGTTATTTACTTTGCAGTAGAAAGTGTGTGAACGATTCAGACCGGAAGATTTTTTAATTGAAGCAAAAAATAAAGCCTTATTTAACTGGAATAGATTTTGTCCGGTAAACTGATTGTCCGGTAAACATGTAGGATCCCAGTAGACCAAGTAATGGTTTGCAATAAAATATTGAACAATATTTATAAGTTTATGAACATCTTTCAATAAATATGTTGGTTAGAACATTACATCTTCTTAAAGTCCGTGTGGTTAATAAAAGAAAAGAAAAAACAACTTTTACAAAAATGTTAATAAATAAAATGAGATAGCCATGAAAGGCACACACTATAACCTGTCTGGAAGATATCGAATCAATTGAATTAAATCAAAAGAGGACATTGAATGAATCTAGCTGTTTTTAATTTACTGATTTTTTGAAAGAGTTATGGATGAACCTACTCGAATGTAATATTATACAATTATTGACTAGTGTGCCATTGAATATGACGTGATATTAACCGGAAGATGACCTATTGGCCGAGGCGATAGCAATGGCACACTAGTCAATAATTGTTTTATTATATGATTAGGCTATATAAGAATTTTTTTTAAAAAGTCACAGAAATTACAACCTTATGCATGTACAACTTTCACCTGTTTTGTTGAAGCGCGGGAAATAGACGCACGTGCTAGGCGTGCAACAACTACGCGAACGCTGCTGATACAAAAGTAATTCAAGTTTATACACATCATTACGGTGTAACCTTTAACTATATAATAGTAAAGTAATGATATTTTAATCTAGAAATATGTCATAAAGAACACAACGCAACAATTATTTTTTCATAAGCACGCGCAATTAACAGTCTACGATATATGAGTCTCAATCTATTTTTAGACTGGGAAAATCCAATTCACCCAGTGAATATGATTCTATAAAAAGTTCCATTGACTACTGTTTAGACCAATGAGACTGCAGCTATATTAAGATCATACAATAATATACAATTATTATTGACTAGTGAGCCATTGGATATGATGTGATATTCAGATGGCATATTGACCCAGGCGATAGTCGAGGTCAATATGACTTTTTGCCGGTGAATATCACATCATATTCAATTGCTCACTGGTGAATATTCTTTTATTATATGAATAGGCTAAAAATTTTAAAAATCACAAAAAGTACAAATTTATATACATGTAAAAAATTTGCCTCGTTGAAGCGCGGGAAAAAGACGCACGTGTCATGTAAAAATTTTGCCTCGTTGAAGTGCGGGAAAAAGACGCACGTGTTTACTGTTAGGCGTGCACATACAAATGTAATTCAAGTTTATACTTATCATTGCGGTGTAGCCTTTGAGTATAACAGTAAAGTAATCGAGAAATATGCCTTAAAGAATAAAACGCAACATTTTTTTAAAATAACACGCGTAATTAACAGTCAACGGTGTATGGTCATTGAATATGAGTCTCAATCTGTTTTAGACTGGGAAAATCCAATTCAGCCAGTGAATATGATACTGCACCCAGTGAATATGATTTTATAAAAAGTTCTGTTGACTACTGTTTGGACCAATGAGATTGCAGCTATATTAAGATCATATAATAAATAATTTTGCCACGTACCCAAAATGATATTATCTGTTCACTGTTAAAAAGATCAATTGACGCGTCTACAGTGTAACACGAACATTTAGCACGCTTTAACAGCACAGATGACATGACATTGCATATGGTCTTTACACTGAATTAAATGGGACTGTCATACTCCTGCGTCATGATATATGTTATAATGAACGAATAAACATTACATGCTGGGAACATATCTATTAAAGGTATCAATATTCATCATATAGTATATATAGGGGCTTACCCTCAAACTAAACCCCATTGCCAATGTATTTCTTTCTAAAACAAAATTCAGAATGATACAACAAATTCAGCAAAACTCTGGTCAAATATCACCTAGAGACTGATCGGGGTCAACGAAACTAGATTCTGTCCGTATACTAATCAGTTGGGTCGATTGATAAATTTTATTTAGAATAAACAAGAAAACAAAGCACAATTAGCGATGTTCAACCAATTATTCTGGAATGATAGATGATAGCATACATTAAGTACACTCTACATACGCTAAGACTCTTTACACACGCGAATAAAGTAAGTAGCTCTTTTTTCACACATTCTTTTTCAGAATTTTTTATTTCTTTGTCGCTTCTTCGTGCAGAGATGATATCACTATCTGTTAAATGTTATCTAAGCAGTTGGGAGGGGTATTGGGGTAAGGGTAATTGAAAATAAAGAATCCCAGACAAACACAAGTTTAACAGATATATGTCATTTGGAAATAGGCTACTTTTTTATTTCTTAAAATATGATAATTAACCTTATTTTCTAAAAACATAATAATTAGTTTTACTGTCATATATTTTTAAATTAATATCTTGAATTAAGCTGGGTGACTAGTTTACATATATCTCGAATTTTACACAAAATACCTCAACAAATGCTAGCATTTAGGCCGTTACATATAGATATCACATATGTTTATATCTCGGCTATTGTTCCGATGTACAAAATGTAGTAGCTAGCTTCCAAGGAATTATTATATATGTTTCGTTTGACCTCATTTTTGTTGGACAGGTTGTTCAATATATTGTTTAAACAATAAATTTTGAGAAATTGATGCATGCTGTGCAAGTGGAATATATTGAGATATTATGTTCCATTTGTTTTCGCTGTCAAGTATTTAATGGTATCAAAACACCGATAATACCAGCTTCGAAAATCATAACCTCACGTTTTGCTACATTTGTCATTAATTAAATTTCATGTGTAACAGTAGTTTCCTATACTATTATATAGGATTCTTAGAGAGTTGGGCGATTTTGAGAACAAAAACGCAACATTTGCGCATCGAGTAAATACAATGTTATATGATCTAGAGTAACCGTACTTGGTAAATTAAATGTTTCGACAATATTTTTTTTTAAGTAGAACATAGTTAAAACAAGTAACGAAAAACCCGGATCTTCCAGCTGGACTCTTTGGAACACCTCAAAGAAGGAAGGCAACTCTGACTTATACTTTACACAAACTTTGACACAGTAGCTTTGTTCATCACTTTATTTAAGCTTCATACATACATGTATCTGACTGGACCAGGTGTTTCCGTTAGTTTTAAGGGTTTACATATATTCAGTTCTTCTCTGTAAATTTTACAATCGAATTCCAATATCTATATTTTTTTTTTGTAAAGGTCAAATTGCTATTCATTGAAAATAAAGGTAACTGCTTAATACATATAATAGGTCTGGTGCACTACAAAGTGCACTTATGAAGTGTAACCTTAGTGTGAACTCAACTGTATCAGACTGGACCAGGTGTTTCCGTTATCTTTAAGGGTTTACCCGAACCGAAAATTTCATCTAGCATCGGGGATGTCAGATGAGTCGCGTGCTATACAATATGGTGACATTTCAGCGCGTTTTATCAACAACATGAACCGCGTTAAAATGACGTCATTATGGCGTACTTAAGAATGAAACTGCATGCTTAGGATGACGTAATTTCGCCGTTGTGAATGAAGTTGTAAGAATATATAGTTACGGGTGTAATGCGATAAATTTGAGGTAAAAAATTTAACATATGTTGGAATATTATGGTAGAATATGCATGAAGAAATATCTGAAATATGTTTGCGGTTTAGATCGGAATATCCATCCCTTAGGAAGTCGTCGGCAAGCTTCGTAACTGCCAAATTGGGGGATATTCCACTCCGAAATCGGAACATATTACAAATATTATCATTCTTTGATTAATTTTTGTCATGGATCTGATTCAGAGTGCTTAATCAAGTCAAAAATTGATGTAAATCGATAAATACACAGCAAAGGTCTTATTTCTTACTTAGAAAAAAATGATATGATTGACTGCTAAATAAGAATGCACTTTTAAATAGACACCCACTTTAAAAATCCGAACTGATGTTTAGTAATTATATCTTGTTCTGTAGATTAATTAGCTAATGTGTTTTTTAAAAAACGTGAATGTATTTTAGCTATGATATTGATTCATGCCATTCATCTGTGAAAACTTGCTACATTTACACCATATTTTTGCTGGTGTGATAATACCAACTCCCAACGATTCTGGATATCCGTTTTATCAAATAGATTCTGCTAAAACTGGACCTACATTGCAGCAGTTTTTGCTTTGATGTCATTCCTTGTAGCAGATCAAACAAAATCGCCTTGTATAAAATATATTGGTAAATAAGATATTCTAAATGTACAGTTACTTTTGTAGAAAATGCCCAAGAAAAAGAAGTCGCAGGATTCAGAACGCAAACCGGCTCCATCCGTCCAAGCACGTGCAAACATCGAAGAAAGCAAGCTAGACAGCATACCAGATGAAGACACATTGATGAGAATGAAAGAAAAAATGTTGAATGAAAAGCCGGAGTTACGACAAATGTTTCAGTATATGGAAAAACTCGTGGATGAAGGAACCAAACAAGCTCAAGATTCTTCTGTTGTATTTACAAATCGTAGAGGTAGATCTATAATTAACTTAAAGGTTTAATTTTCTTTTCAGAGTCTCTTAAACTTTTTATATATATCATTAGTATTAAATGTTATATCTTTGAAATGACATGGCATTCATTGGTTTTGATGTCTTGAGATCTTTAGCTCGGCTTTTTCGAATATTGCTATTGTCAGGTTGTCGTTCCCGTCCTGGTTGCCATTGCTGTTGGTGTCCAGAAACTTTTAACATCGGCCATTATTTTTTACCATTTCTATATTGATTTTCTTCATACATGGATGAGACCTTCAAGTAAAGCTGACTGAATTTGACCTTGACTCATAAATGGCATTGACCATCAAGGTCAAATTGTTGAATTTTCCATGATTTTGATTGCTATAATTTGCTAAAACTTAGTCTTCATACTTGGATACAACAATCCTTTGGACAAAAACTTTCAGAACACGAAATTGATTATGGCCTTAACTCATCAATGACCTTGACATTGAAGGTCAAATGAATTTTGCTTGATATTTGCTATAATTGACTTTAAAAATGGATTGTCTTCATACTTGAGTACAACTACTTTAAAAAAAGATCAAACTCAGTTTGACCTTGACGTTTGACCTTTAAATGGCCTTACCTTTGACGTCACTGGATTGTCTTCATTCTCGTTCACAACAATTCATGGGAAAAGACATTAAAGACACTTTAATTGAACTTGACTGTGACATTGATTTGTCCTTGACAATATTGTAAATTAGTGAATTGTCATAACTGTGTTATTTATTTATGGATTTGGAATACTCTTTACTATTAAATGCTTCCTCTGTCGTCTGATTAGTCGACCGTGCCCCCCCCCCTCTCACCCGTTAGCTGAAGGTTTTTTAAAACTATTATATTTATCTGATATTTCTATGAATAGGAATTCTTACATATCCAGCAATTTAAGTTGCAGCTGGTTTCCAGATTATTTTACTTTCAAATGCAAATATCGAGGTAGTAAAATATAAGGAAGTCCTAATCATTCCTATTTCGGAATAATTTCCCCGACAGTTATTCTTTTCTCTTTATTTAGAAGGTTTTATTTAAAGAAAATAAGACGTTTAAAAGGTTTAAAGCGATCTTTATCATTTCTATTCAGGATATGTTACGCCAGAACTTCTGATGCAATATCCGAATTCACCAACTGCAAGAAAGACAATGGAAGCATTGAACCATTACGTGTACGCCTTTAATATCTTATGGAGTTACAAGAAACCAAGGGTTCTTCTACAGAGTGACTGTGATTGTTTGCAGCCTGGACTTCACCACTTTATCGAGGGATATATGACAGCGGACTATATGCTGCAGCAGTTCCATTTGCCTCCGTCGTTTACATATTTAGTTGAGGATTATCTTCAGTTAAGGCCTAATGACATTTTGGTGGAATATATTTATGTTAACGTTGTTGTGGCTCTGAAGACAAAAGAGCTACCTGACTATGAACGGTGCAAGGAAACAATTCGTGCGCTTGAAATATTTGTTCATAAATTGCTGCCGTATGAACATGAGGAAACAGCTAAACGAATTTTTACGTCTTGGGAGCGAAATATACATCGACAGACCAAAACGAACGTGCATTGGACGCTTTTGAGAAATGTTACGCCTTAGATGAGACAAATGTCGGGGCTATATACAGCGTTGCTTTTCACTACCAAGCCCAATTCCCAGAAAAGGCTTTAATGTTGTGTAACAAATACTTAGATATTGCACCAAAGTGTGACGAAAAGTTTCCGCACGTTCATTATGTGATGGGATTTATCTATGCTTGCCATTTTAAAAATATTAAGCTAGCGAAAAAGTACTATCTTCTTGGAAAGAAAGCAGAAACGTACAGATTGCCATTTAACCCACCTGCTGATTTTACCGCAAAATGTATTCTTGAATCAATTATGCCTCTTGCTGAATCAAATTCAGGAATTCTTCAGAATGCTTTTGAGCGCATAGATATGAAGAAATTAACACAAAAATGAGATACAAATATTTCACATGATGTATTATTTTCGTTCTATGTCTTAAAAAAACCCACCTGTATTTGATGTTTAAATTATATACCCAAATGTCTCTGTATCTATATCCTTTAACGCTTCTGCTTCAGTCTGTGTATGATTAAAAGAGACAAAAGGGGCATTTGTATACTGTGGCTTGCTCTACATACTTGTCTTGAGAAATGTCTAATTGTTATAATAAAACCTCATTATGTGTGAACAAAATATCGGTATCTAGTTTGTTTATACTTAACTTTAAAGATACATTAAATGTCAACTCGTTTGTAATTATGATGAAGCACTGACCTATAAAATATTTATTGTATCTTGGAAAGACATTTTCAATAAAACTTTTAGGAACTGTCATATCCTGATATGGTTAACTATGTAGTTGAGACAATCTAAACGTCTGAAAGACGAGAAAAGAGTTACCGATTACAGCTGTAAAAACTGTATATAATTTTTTTATTACCTTCTAACTGGCTCTATTTTTGCACGCGACATTTAGATGAATATATAATTGTTTAGTTTTTAATTTTAACATTCTCATTCGACGAAATCGAAGAAAGGCAACTTAACATAATGATGCCAAAATAGTTCTTTCGATTATTATGCGAAAATATCTTTCAGTAAATTCTTGAGAATCTATAATAAAATCAATTGACCAATTAACAATATTGTTATATTGTTTATTGGGTTTAAGTTATTTAAATTTGTATACTGGGTTTTAAACCAAACTAACTACATATCAAAAGTGTTGTTAATGAATATTAGATAGTTAACTATAATTTACAAAGTTAAACAGTGCTGTTATTGATTCCTTGGGACAACAGAAATCGGTTCAGAATGCAAGTGGTTTTTAGTCTTAAGACATGAAAAATTGTAGAAATGATCGAACCTTTAAAATCACAAATACATGTATATATCAGGCCATATTTAACTTGTAACTCTGAGCATACATATTTGCATCATTACAACTATGATGTTTGCTTTTGTTTTGGTCGGATTTAAAAATCCTACCGATAGTATTAAGGCACTTACTTTCTAGCGTTAGTTGTGAAAACCTTATAGGCGCCCATTCCGTCATTTTTTCTCAGGTACGAAAGGTCAGATAGAGCGAGATATCTTAAGTTGTTGCGCAAATGTAAAATAACGACATTCTTATGTACAGCGACGGTGTAAACTGTTGTACGAATTTATGTCACTTATCGTGATTCGCTTCATGCACAATACCTAGATACTAGTGTTGACGAATCGAAACCAACCTTAGTTTGTAAAACGAAAGTAGGATCGTGCGATAAAAAAGTAAGTACTGTTGTTTTCTGTTTATCATTTTGTGACTTTAGTACAGTTAAGTTCACATTCATACAATTTACACTTGAATTCATGTTTGTTATCACATATATTGACCTGAGTCGCCTATATTATTATAACTGTATAATATGACTCTTGACAAAAGAAGTAAATAACGGGTGAAATATTAAAAATAAAGGAGAAATGCAGCTGATTTACAGTTGCTATTTTTTCATCACAATATACGATACGATAAAGTGTATATAAAATCAGAGTAGCGTAGGTTCTACCGAAATGTCCCCGTAATGTACCTACCGCTAATGGAGGGTCAATATCGTTTCAGGTCAGACACTTACATTGATTTTCCCATAGACTTACATTATAAGAAATGGTCCCTAATCCTACCTTTAAATTGAGTTTTCATGCTAAAGAGGTGATTTTTCTAACAAAATGAAATGCCTGACACATCCTGTTATATAGGGGTATATTAATATTATATAAATTCCATCAAAGCTGTAATTTTAGCTATTGCTTTGTGTGCATAAGCAGACCTAAATTTTAACTTGTTGGTAAATGCAAGTGTTTATACAGCGACATATTCTTAATATTGTTACATTTTAGGCTATGCCTAAGAAGAAGAAATCACGGACACAGGAAAGCAAACAGGTTCCTTCAGTTACAACACATGGGAACTTAGAACTAAGAAAAATGGAAGATATACCAGATGAGAACGCCTTGGAGAAAATAAAAGAAAAATTGTTGAATGAACAGCCAGAGTTTCGTCAAATGTTTCAGTATATGGAAAAGCGTAGTAGAGAAGGAATCAATCAAGCGCAAGATTCTTCTGTCGTTTTTACAAATCGTAGAGGTTCGTCCCCGTTTAAGTACTATATATATCGTTAAAATATGTATAACAGGTTTTGACGTTCATAACCTTAATCTTCATGTTGATACTCTTCATATGAATTATAAAAAGGTTACTTAGAATCGTGTTTTTTTAGTAAAGCACGATTTGCACGTTACACCATCTACATAATTATATGAATGTTCTCTTAATTTTTTTAAATCTTGTTTTACAATGGTTTTTCATGATTTCACAAGTGTAATTACTTAGATAATAAGAGGGTACTTCATTAAATGCCATGTATAATTTGTTATTCAGGATATGTTATACCAGAGCTGTTATTGCAATATCCTGATTCACCAACCGCAAAATACACATTGGAAGCATATGGTCATTACTTGTACGCCTTTGATATCTTATGGAGTTACAAGAAACCAAGGGTTCTTCTACAGAGTGATTGTGATTATTTAGAGCCTGGACTTCACCACTTTATTGAGGGATTCATGATGGCACAGTATATGCTTCAGCAATTTCCAATGGTTCCATCCTTTACAGATTTGGTAGAAGATTATCTAAAGTTAAGACCGAATGACATTTTAGTTGAATATATCTACGTGAAAGCTTTAGTCACAGAGAAATCAAAATCACTGCCCGATTATGAACGATGTAAAGAAATAATTCCGAGCCTTTTGAAAATTTTGTTCAATAAATTCGCTTCCAAAAATAAACATCAGAATACAAGCCAAACGAATCCTTATGATTTCATATTTATATGTTGGGAGCAAAAACTATTACATCGACAGACCCAAAATGAAACGAGCCTTTTGGATGCATTTGAGAAATGTTTATGCTTTAGATGAACATAATATAGCCGCGATATACAGCGTTGCCTTTTACTACAAAAAATAAAAAGGATCCCCGAAAAAGGGCCTTACAATTTTGTAACAAATATCTGGATATGGGCCGCCAAAATGTGCATGAAAAATTCCGAACGTTCATTATGTAATGGGTTTATTCTACGCTTTGTCATTTTTGAAAAAAAATTTTGAACTTGCGAAAAAGCACTATCATCTTTTTGGAAAGAAGCAACGAAACATACAGATTGCCGTTTTTAACCCACCTACTGATTTTAATCCAAAATCTTTCCTTGAATCACTCCTGCCTCTCGCAGAAGCGAATGATGAATTACGTCAGACATTTTTGAAAGAAATAGACATTGACTAGGAAATGATTATCATTCTCAAGACTTGTACCTAAGTATTGTTTCTTCTTTATACTTTCATATTTCAAAAACGACCATGTATTGCAAGAAATGAGAACTATGAAAAAATTTAAGATCTTTTAAATGACATTTATCACGATTTACTATGTCTTATTTTGGATATTTATGGACATTACCTTTGTAATAACTCCATAACAGAGTGCTTCTACAAAGTAACTGTCATTGTACATATCTACAGCATTAACTTCATTGAGGGATATACATGTATATATGTATATGATTGTCTTATATGACAAATTAAGACTATAATGTCAAAATACATCCTAAGATTATAATGTCAAAATATCTTGCAGCAAATTCTTGAGAAGATATAATAAAATAGACATATCAATAGACAATATTGTCATTTGCCTGTTAGGCATTATGTTTTTTTTTATACTGAGTTTAAATTAATATGCATATTGGGGTTTAAACCAAACTAGATTACTAGGGACAACAGAAACCGGTTCGGATCGGCAAGAGAATTTTAGTCTTAAAACATCAAGGTAAATGGTAAAAATGTACCTTCAAGCACAAATATATATGCGGTCACATTTAATTTATATGCATACTTCTTATTTTCATCGATAATTTGTCCCGTGACAACGAAGATGTTTGTTTTTATTTGATCGGATTAAAAAAGTCGCAACATACACTTAAAGATCATATGGTAACTTTCTAGGTAGACATTAAATGCCCCACCCGTCATTATTTGAGAACCTAAGCGAGATACCTAAAGTTGTTGCGAAAATATAGAATGACTACATTCTAACAGCAACGGCTTTTAATAAACTGGTGTCGAATTTATGTCGTAGTAATCAACAAGGTTAGCTTTTAAAAAAGCTAGTAGCGACTCGCTTCGTAATTTTTTTCAAGGGGTGTGTTTAAATGTAAAAATGACAGTTCTGTTAGCTGAAGAGACTTCAGCGAACATCAAAATAAAAGTGAAGTCAACACTGGCCCGGTGCCCAATGGCCAGTGTATATAAGTTCAGGCCAGTGTAAATTTAAGAAAATTTTGTTAATTATTTAGTAGAATAAATTCAAAACTGGAATTCGGGCCAGTAAATTCAAAATCTTAAACTCATTGACTGAAAGTGACATATAAAGTTCTCTCAGTTTAACCAAGATGAGTATGAGTATATATGAAGGTGCATGTAAACAGATAGAATGAAGAACCTATGTCTATGCACATTTACTATATGGCCTGTTGACCTTGACCACAAAATGTTAGATAGGTAGATTTCATAAAGATGTCTCTTTATACAAAATTAAGTTGTAATACATGTATGTTATTTAGTATTGGAATGAGAGGCACAAGTCCTAAAGTAAACACAAGTTGTCAATCAATTCAGCCAGAAAAGCCGGGATCCTATTAAAAAATATAGGGATCCCGGAAATTGACCAGTTCAAGAATATAGTTTTCAGAAAAGCCGGGATCGTATCAAAATGTAAATAGATCTCACGGATTGGCCAGTTCAAGTATATAGTTTTCAGAAAAGCTGGGATCGTTTTAAAACATATAGGGATCCCGGGATTTGACCAATTCAAGAAAATAGTCTTTGATTTTTCCAATTAATTAGGCATATAATTATAAGTATTGGGGTGCATAGAAAAACCGGAAAGCACCGGATAGCACCGAAATACCGGAAAGCACTCAAATTTCTCATAAAAACATATGAAAACTTTATTTTATCGGTTTGAAAGTGTTACCAATCGATTTATTAGGTCAAAATCTTTCAGACAACATGTTTTTATAATTATAATATGATTATTATTACGATTATAAATATGATATTGACATCAATCAAGGCACACTTCACGCCTTGTTTATTCCACGGACACACGCTGATTAAATTAAACTGACACACGCTGATTAAATTATCACATTTATACAGGTGTTAATTTATTTACACAATAGCTGGATGTATTTAACTGATTGAGATATTATGATATTGAGATGTCGTTTAAACTTAAAATTTAATAATATTCTACAAACAGTGATGGAACATCAGATTCAACGATTTAGAGTAGATACAATATCTTGAAATATTTCCTCACTAAATACATATAACATGTATTACAGAAAATAATTTTCATACGATTTCAACTTTAGATTTAAAAATTATTGAATAGATAAATTGATGTTCCATAGAGGTTAACGTTCCTCATTTTCTATCCACTACGAAAACAAGAAAATGGGGTATCAATTCTAATCATCTAGATAAGATTGAACATTTGTGATAACTTTTTCGTTTAATAGTTATACCAGACATTACAGAATCTCTTTTTCACCTAAGAAATATGTCTTTATAGTTTAAAAAATACGTTTATAAAAAGGTGTACATGCAGTTTAATTCCTCTAAATTTCATATATGACTACGCCCACTTGTTGGCTAGTAACCAATCAAAACAAAGTATTCAATAAAATTGTATAAATGGGACAATATGATTGGTCACAGTATATTAAAATGATTTTTTCGAGTTTTAGTTAAATAGTTAGATATTTTTTGTAGTTTTTACGAATTATTTGTGATATTTAGCTAAACATAAACAATATTTCAGATCATGTTTGTATGTAATTCGATAATATATACAATTTTGATTTTGGAAGTGAACTTTTTCAAAAATACAATCATTTATATTAAATTTTTCGAACTTAGGTTTTTTCGGTTTTTCAGCACTTAAAGAAGAAAATGGAACATCAGATTCAACGATTTAGAGTAGATACAATATTTTGAAATACTTCCTCACTAAATACATATAACATGTATTACAGGAAATAATTTTCATACGATTTCAACTTTAGATTTAAAAATTATTGAATAGATAAATTGATGTTCCGTAGAGGTTAACGTTCCTCATTTTCTATCCATTACGAAAACAAGAAAATGGGGTATCAATTCTAACCATCTAGATAAGATTGAACATTTGTGATAACTTTTTCGTTAAATAGTTATACCAGACATTATAGAATCTCTTTTTCACCTAAGAAATATGTCTTTATAGTTTAAAAAATACGTTTATAAACAGGTGTACATGCAGTTTAATTCCTCTAAATTTCATATATGACTGCGCACACTTGTTGGCTAGTAACCAATCAAAACAAAGTATTCAATAAATTGTATAAATGGGACAATATGATTGGTCACAGTATATTAAAATGATTTTTCGAGTATTAGTTAATGATATTCAGAACTTTTTCGTTTTTCTAAATTAATAAATGACCTCTCATGTCGTTGTTGGTACGTTGGTCCGGTTCTGATTTCGGCTTGCCATATAATTAAACAAAAGATCCAGGTCGTCTATCCGGGGGTGGCAGGAGGAATGTAACTAATTCATGTAATTAATTAACTATTAATTTGGATAGGTTGTAATGGATGCACGTATTTGTCATTTTTGACATTTATAACTTTAATGATATTGTTCACTATCTAGAAAGAAACTGCTCAATAAGTATTTAGTTTTTCTGCTGGTTAACATCTATCCTTCGCCTTTATCGGGAGGGAGTTTTACTTTCCTGACATGCCTTCTTCGCAAGTATGCGAACTCTACAATTATAGGTAATATTTTAAAACTTTTTAGTTATAATAAATATTAGATAGACCTGTTATAAAAGACGGTAACTTCTATAAACGTCTTGGCCAATTTTAAAATAAGTGCTTTTTAATAATTTAATTTTAGAATTCTTAATCTTAGTATGGGATTGCCCCATCTTCCTCCCATGGCAGAGGTTGTACGTAGAGACTACCCTGTCATGGGGGATATGGTATGCACATAAACACATGTACGGATATAACAATAAGTAATTAAACATCAGCTCCCCCTTTTTAAAAGGTTATAAATGAAGTATATGCTCGCCCATATGGTCTCTTTCCGGTGGCGAGGGTAAACAAACCCAAACACACACACACTAAAACAAACTTGTTTTTTAATATTCTGACACTCCTTTGTGTATGTATCTGATCAAATTAGATTACTGGTTTTTGCGCATGACACATCGTATTCGGTAATGTACATGTATCTTAGCAGGACCGGAAAGCACTCGATATATCTATTTTCTTAAATACTCGTAATATAATTATCAATATATATTTATAAAAACATGTTGTTTGAAAGATTTTGATCTAATAAATCGATAAGTAACACTTTCAAACCAATAAAATAAAGTTTTCATGTATTACTTTGATAAACAATATTGCTATTCGGTAATGTACATGTAACTTTGCAGGACCGGAAAGCACTCGATATATGTATTTTCCTAAATACTCGTAATAATAATAAAAAAATATTTATTAAAATGACTTCATAAACAGATTTTGATCTAATAAATCGATTGGTAACATTTACAATCCAATAAAATAAAGTGTTCATGTATTACTTTGATAAACAATATTGCTATTCGGTAATGTACACGTATCTTGGCAGGACCGGAAAGCACTCGATATATCTATTTTCTTAAATAATCGTAATAATAATCATATTTTAATTATAAAAACATGTTGTCTGAAAGAATTTGATATAATAAATCGATTGGTAACACTTTCAAACCAATAAAATAATGTTTTCATGTATAACTTTGACAAACAATATTGCTATTCGGTAATGTACATGTATCTTAGCAGGACCGGAAAGCAATCGATATATCTTTTTTCCTAAATACTCGTAATAATTATCAATATATATTTATAAAAATGACTTGTCTGAAAGATTTTGATCTAATAAATCGATTGGTAACACTTTCAAACCAATAAAATAAAGCTTTCATATGTTTTTTTTATGAGAAATTTGAGTGCTTTCCGGTATTCCGGTGCTATCCGGTGCTTTCCGGTTTTTCTATGCACCGTAAGTATTGTGATTTCCGCATTTTAAGTTTGTTAATAAATAGCTCTAAATATATCTATATTCTAAGTTAAATTAATTTAACGTTCATTATATACAATAAAAAAAATAACGTTTAATGGCCTTTCATTACGACAACAATCAACACAAATATAGTTCATTAGGTTTTTCCTCCATATCTTATACGATCCCGGATCCCGGGCGTCCCGGATCCCGGCCAGTAAATACATACACTAAATACCGGAAAGGATAAAATGACCGGAAAAAAGGAAAAATAAAAAATGCACAGAACCAGATGTACACTTATGTTAATTAACCAAACGAAAACTTACTACAGAGAAAACAGGTGAAATCGCTAAATCAGAAGTCAGTGTAAATATGATTTATTGAAAAGAATTCATAAAGACAAACATTTTAATCATCATTATATCTTTGCGCTCAAAACAATACTTGCTGATTTTTAAAAATGGCGTGAAAATTGAAGGTTTTTTGACGCTATGTAAGATTAAATTTGATTGGCTAAATAATTTTGGATCCTAGTCCTGATAGATAAATTTTGTAGAAAGCTGGAAGCCAAGCGTCGATTAAATTTTTGGATGGCTTCGGAGTTTTAGGTTGTTTCTCAGTAAAATCCTACCGTAATACCGGCTCGCCGTGGCGAGCCGGCATAATCACGATTCGCTTCATGCACAACTAAAATGAACGAACTTGGCTACATAGATACTAGTGTTAAAACGAAAGTAGGACCGTTCGATAAAAAGGTAATATATATCGTGTTATGTTTATCATTTTGTGACTTTAATACAATTATGTATACATTCATACAACGTACATTTGAGTTGAACATGCTTGTATTTCTATAATAATTATTTATTCACTAATTCTTGTTAACCAGACAATCACTAAATCTCTGAAGAATGTAAAAAATTCTGGAAACAAAGTGATCCCTCGGAAGCATTAATCACAACAAAATAACATAAGAATTGCAGACTCGGTTTGATTGAGTCTGTACATGAGGGATAATGAATAAGTGCAACATCCCTCACGCCCCCTAGCACCGGCTTGAGCGGTACTCAATTCTCAACACTGTATAAAACTGAACAATTTTAAAAGGTTTGATTAACCTGAGTCGGCAAAACTATTCTAATATGACTCTTTTAGTATGTTCTTATACTACAAAAAGAAAATATATTGGGTGTAAAGTTGCAAAAAGGCGAAATGCAGAAGCTGTTATTTTTCATGTACGCCACTGATAAAATCGATATACATGCATAGGACCGTAAGTAACAATAATGATGTATTTTTGTTTCTCTTCATGGTCATGATAAAATATCATCTTACAAAACAGTCATTTTAATATTTAACACTACGTTAATGTTTTTGATATCATTCATAACCAGCGAAGTGACGTCATCAGCACACAACGCATTCATAAAAACCATGAATTAATTCAAGCATACATCATGTACATCTGATTCAATCTAATTAAAATCACATCCTAAATGCACTCAACTGCCCTTCGCAGAGTAACGGAGCGAAAACGGTGATCTGATTTTAAATGAGATTGACTTGGGTGAGAATCCAGTTAGGGTTTACACAATATAACATGAAGTCTGGTAAACATGAACATTTAAATTGTTGTACACTTCTTAAAATAACATTTGAAGAAAAAAATGAACGAGACTTAAATCGATGAATCGGCTCATCTCTTAATATGTTTATTATATAAGCGATAGTAAGATTTGAAGTTTTAACAATACATTGTAGATATGAAATGTGGTGGGTACAAACTGTTACAAAACTGGTAATCGTGATTATTATATGTAGTGTTATAGTGAATGAACGATGAATATACTGGTGTTTATAAAGGGAACATTATGTTATTTATTTATTTATTTATATATAGAGGATATTCAAGTTTTTTCTATAAATACATGATTTATTTTCATCGAATGGTATGAAAATAAATATTTCATGAGTGGCGGTAGCCACGAGTGAAATATGGTAATTTCATGTCACAAGATGAAAATAAATCATGTATTTATAGAAAAAACATGAATTTTCTGTTTATTATATACATTTTTCTCTTTTTTGACAATAAAATTTAAAAGACTTTCCCTTAAATTTTGTGTACTGGCAGAATTTAAAAGAAAATAGTCCGGCAAGACACCAGTGAAAATACGGAAAATATGTTTCACTGCAGTGAAAAATAAATTTTTACAGTGAAAATACAGAAAATGAAAATACGCATTTTATTTCATCAATATTTCTCAATATTTCTTTTATAAGTATATAATAAATTAATTTATTTTTAGTTATTTTCATTGGAGTAACAATAATACAACGTAAATGACATTAGACTATATTGGTGTACAATTAAATTCTATATGCACAATTTTGGCGTTAGGCTTCATTGCGATCTTTTCTATAAAATATACAAAATGTATAATTCTGATGAAAAATGATTATGGCCTGGATACAGTAAAATTTCAGAAATATTGCCTTTGACTGAAAGTATTTTTTAAGAGTTCGGTAACAGTGTTTTCTTAAGAAGCAGTTTTGTTTCTCATAAAAAGTGTTTGTGAACTACTATTTTAAAAATGACAGTCAAAAACTCAAAAGACTCATTTTAATAATATATGCGAGCATTATTCCCCATTTAACTGCATAAAATGCTTAAAATAACTACTTATGAACTGTTTCTTAACTACATCAATGCTTGTAAATCATCTGGTAGAGCATAAAGGAAAATGTAGTTTTAACCATGCACACAATTTTATAAATAAATGATATGAAACAATTGATTACAAAATTCTATTATCATGATCAACTCATAATAAAATGCTGTCTGACTGCTACGTATATTTGTCTTTTAATATGATATGGAATATTATCATGACATTTTACGTTCTCTTTCAAGAATATTCTAGTTGTATGTTGGTAAATGGCTCGAAGCTTATGTTATTGTGTTACATAATGTATATAGATAAACAGATAGTTTCTTCTAACTTAAGTCACATGGTATTTTATTTTTGACCATACCCAAGTTGTAAGAAAATATATAAACATATTTCACCTGTTCAGGAACCCCTACCTATTCACACGACCAACCACAATAGGAGTGTTATTAACTGTAGAAATATTTTCAAATTTAGACCATGCCGAAGAAAAAGAAAACGCATTTATCAGAAAATAAACAGGCTACTCAGGTTCGGGTACATGAAGATTTAGAAGCGAACGAGAAAGACGACATTCCAGATGCAGAAACCGTGAGAAAAATGAAAGAAAAATTGATTAATGAAAAACCCGAGTTGAGACAGGTGTTTCAATATATGGATAAGATGTCTGAAGACAGATTGAAGCATGCACAAGACTCTTCTTTTGTTCTTAAAAATGAGAGAGGTAAAACTTATTAATTTACTCAAATATTGGGGGCGGGGATTGCATGAATTTCATTTCGATATATGTATATAAATCGTCTCGAAACGTTACTAAAGAGTGACGTAAAACGCTTTTGACTACCTTTTATGCAGATATTTTTTCTTCAGAATACAGTTGTACAAAATCTTCAAATATCACTATTGTCGTTCGCGTTATTTCATAAATCGTTTGAATTTTACCATACTTTTCATGTAAAGCCTTAGTTTTTAATTACTTTTTAGCTCACCTGACCACGAAGTGGTCATGGTGAGGTATAGTGATGGGCTATGTCCGGCGTCCGTCGTCGTGCGTCGTCAACAATTGGGTTGTTAACAGTCTAGCAGTCACAGTTTTGATCGGATCATCATCAAACTTTGTCAGAATGTTTGTCTCAATGAAATACAGATCGACTTCGAAGATGGGTTATCTCGGGTCAAAAACTAGGTCACAGGAGCTAAAAATAGAAAAAGCTTGTTAACACTCTAGAGGCTGCAGTTTTCAATCCGAATATTCTGGAAATTTGTCAGGAAGGTTTGTTTTGATGAATATCTAGGTCAAGTTCGAAGATGGGTTATCTCCGGTTAAAAAACTAGGTCACAGGAGCTAAAAATAGAAAAAGCTTGTTTAAACACTAACAATTGGGTTGTTAACAGTCTAGCAGTCACAGTTTTGATTTGATCATCATCAAAACTTTGTCAGAATGTTTGTCTCAATGAAACAAATACAGATCGACTTTGAAGATGGGTTATCTCGGGTCTAAAACTAGGTCACAGGAGCTAAAAATAGAAAAAAGCTTGTTAACACTCTAGAGGCTGCAGTTTTTAATCCAAATATTCTGGAAATTTGTCAGGAAGGTTGTTTTGATGATATCTAGATCAAGTTCGAAGATGGGTCATCTCCGCTCAAAAACTAGGTCACAGGAGCTAAAAATAGAAAAAGCTTGTTAACACTCTAACAATTGGATTGTTAACAGTCTAGCAGTCACAGTTTTGATTGGATCATCATCAAACTTTGTCAGAATGTTTGTCTCAATGAAATACAGATCGAGTTTGAAGATGGGTTATCTCGGGTCATAAACTAGGTCACAGGAGCTAAAAATAGAAAAAGCTTGTTAACACTCTAGAGTCTGCAGTTTTTATCCAAATATTCTGGAAATTTTTCAGGAAGGTTGTTTTGATGGTATCTAGGTCAAGTTCGAAGATGGGTCATCTCCGGTCAAAAACTAGGTCACAGGAGCTAAAAATAGAAAAAGCTTGTTAACACTCTAGGGGCTGCAGTTTTCATCCAAATATTCTGGAAATTTGTCAGGAAGGTTGTTTAGATGATATCTAAGTTAAGTTCGAAGTTGGGTCATCTCCGGTCAAAAAACTAGTCACAGGAGCTAAATTATAGAAAAAGCTTGTTAACACTCTCTAGTGGCTTCAGTTTTCATCCAGACATTCTGGAAATTTTGTCAGGAAGATTGTTCTGATGATTTCTAGGTCAAGTTCGAAGATGGGTCATCTCAGGTCCTATGTCCAGTCAAAAACTAGGCCACAGGAGCTAAAAATAGAAAAATATTTTTAACACTCTAGTGGCTGCAGTTTTGATCCAAATTTCCTGGAAATTGGCCAGGAAGGTTGTTTTGATGATTTCTAGGTCAAGTTTGAATATGGGTCGTGCACGTGTCCGGTCAAAAATTAGGTCACATTGCCCAAATATGGAAAAATCCTTATAACACACTAGAGGTCACATGTTTTGACTATGTTGTCATCAAACTTGGCCATGATTCTTGTTTAAGACATTGCTTGGATGCGGTTGTGTTCAGATAAGCGATCCAGGGCCATCATGGCCCTCTTGTTTTATTCAGGATTTGTTACACCGGAACTTCTATTACAATATCCGAACTCGCCTACAGCCAAGTATACAATGAAGCACTGAACCATTACATGTATGCATTTAGCATATTATGGAGTTACTCTAAACCAAGAAGTTCTTTCTGCAGAGTGACTGTGATTTTTTTACAAACCTGGACTACACCACTTCATTGAGGGATACATGATTGCACAGTATATGCGCCAGCAGTTTTCCTTTGCCCCATCGTTCACAGATTGGGTAGAAGATTATCTAAAATTGAGACCAAATGATATTTTGGTGGAATATATTCATGTGAAAGCTATTGTTGGTTGGAAGACGCAAACGTTGTCTGACTATGAACACTGCAAGGAAACAATACGAGCACTTGAAATATTTGTTCATAAATTACAGCCATACGCTAAAAATCAGGACACAGCCAAACGAATCCTTATTGACTCGTATTACGTGTTGGGTGCGAGATATACAACAACAGACCAATATGAACGAGCCTTGGACGCTTTTGAGAAATGTTATGCTTTAGATGAGACAAATATAGCCGCGTTATATATCCTTGCCTTTCACCTCAAAGATAAAGATCCCGAAAAGGCTTTACAGTTTTGTAATAAATATCTGGAAATGGCGACAAAATGTGATGAAAAATTTCCGAACGTTCATTATGTAATGGGATATATTTATGCATGTCATTTCAAAAATATCAATTTAGCGAAAAAGTCTTATCTTCTTGGAAAGGAAGCAGAAACGTACAGATTGCCATTTAACACTCCTACAGATTTTGCCCCAAAATCATTTCTTGAATCGTTCATGCCTCTTGCAGAAACAAATAAAGCAATGCTTCAGAAAACTTTGGAACATATGGATATGAAAAAATTAACACAATGATGATTTTAAATTTTCAAGCGATACGTGTATGTATTTCCAACAAATATAAGTGTGATTTATTATTGATATTTAGCATATGTGATAGCTTCCTCACGTGCCCTTCCACAGCGGTTCGGGGCAATTTAGCATATATGATAATTTCCTCACGTGCCCACCCACAGCGGTTGGGGGGGGGGGATATTTCGTAACAAGACAAACTTGATCTATATTGACAGGTTAAGAGAAAATTTATACAGGGACAAAGAGTTCTACTACTCCGAAGAGTACATACTACTTATTGTCATCGTTTAAAAAAAGCGTGGTGGGGGATGGGGTGGGGAGGGGAGGATGCTTCACTTCAAGGAAGTTATATTGTTATGCTTATATTCAAGTTTTGCTTTATATATGTAAATAATAAAATAAATGGTTATAACAAGTGTATTGCAAATATTTATCACCAAAACCTAAAATATGGCATTGCCATCTAAATCATGTCACTTCAAAGGCATATCCTTTAGTTTATACAAATTTATTTTAGTTCGATTGTGTTTGAAGTTATAAGCTTATTGAAACTCTCGAATCCGTTCCTAGAACTAACCACTACTAAGCAATAAATGTAAAGGAAACAACGTCTTGTCCCTGATAGGGTTTGGATTACTAGTCCGACGCGTTAACCACTCGACCACGCCGCATAACCTTTGATCTTAAGACTAAAAAAATCTAATCACATTACGGCAATAAGATGACAACATGGAGTGGAGTGATGCTAAATAAACTTAATTGAAATATTGAATATGCATGTACATGTACTATATATTAAATCATTTATTTAAAAGGGCAAAATGTGCAATAACTACGAAAACAGAATAATATATCTATTATTGAAAATGTGAATATAGATCTACTTGAGTTAAGACTTATTAGACATTCTTCATCATAATATGAATTAAAATTACCTTCAAATGAGCGGCAATGGACTATGAAGTAATCTTAAATAAACGTTTTAAGGAAGAGCCTTAGGATCATAAAACTTTAAGGTTATCTCACCTCGAACTTGTGATTGTTTAATTTTCCAATATTAATCTATCTTGCGGAAAATACAATGATTGGCTATTTCAATGTTCGTATTCTATGAAGAAATAAAATAGTTTATCATCTGAAGAGTGTAACGGTTATAATCGTTATTGGTCTTTAAGCAGGACAGATTAGTTTAATAACTGATTTCTTGACATTAATAGTCCATAAACACGCTCTTTCTAAATTAATTTTATATGATTTTCCCGTAACTCGTCAATAATATTGCTGAAAGATGTGATCAAAATACAATTTGTCAAAGGAAGAGACACCAAAACGTTAAAGGGAAACATCAATCGATTATATCTCGGAGTTTTTGTCTCATTACATGGATAGAGAAATTTGCTTGTCTCATTTACACAATTTCCATGGAAGATATAGGTGAGTACGTGATAAAATTTAGGTAAGATTCATAAATCTTTACACAGAGTACAATCTTGAACACTTTGTGTATAAA